CAGAAGCAAAACCGGATGTCGGAAGCACTCCATTCAATCTGCAAACAAGCGTCGCCCATCATCCTGCAGAGGAACGCCCCACCCCGCACCACACCCTCTAAAACTGCAACGAAATGAGAAATTCATTTTTTATTTAAATTTGAAGGAGAGAAAAACATCCTGGCACCCGTGATCCTGCCTCTTGCAGTCTCTCTGGCTTTTCCACTGTCGCTTCCGGCGCGAGGAAGATGAATGCCTCGACGGCAACGACAACACGATGACGCCAATAGTTTTTCCCACCCAGTTCAGTCTCTGTGGAGGTCTCCTCCACAGGGTGGTCCTTTAGTTTCCGAGGAGCTCTCTCCTGGGTGGTCCTCAAGTTTTTGTTGACTTAAGCCAAAAACCAAAGAAGGATTCAGCAAGGACTTCCACTGGGAGCACAAGTCTTTGGTTTTTTTTTTAGGCTAATTTTTCTCAAGTACTTAAATAATTTTTGAATTTATCAGAGAAATTTGTAAGAAACTTTTGGTAGGAAAAGGGAGCCAAAGAATTCTCTTTATTTCATTTATAAATATTTTAATTGAAATTCACATTTAAAAATTAAATAAATACAAAAAAAAACCCACCCGTCGTATTTCAACAATTATGCAACTTCATTAAATTCGCGCATAACTCATGGATGAGTTTTTCGAAAAAGTTTGGAATTGCAAACGGAATCGGGCGAAGCGAAGCGGATAAAGCTGCCACACCAATCAAATGATTGGACTTGTGGCATACCCCTTAATCAAAATGAGATATCAAATGATGAATATTCTACATAAATTATATAAAAAATCTGACATTTTTCAAGTGAAATTAATATTATAAATAAATTATTATTCATCTGTGATGCATACCAGATAATTATAGTTTGATGTACAGGGTATCTTGGGGCATAAAAATCGAGTGGAAATTATTGTTGTGACTGCCTCCCCCAAAAAGTGTCGGGTCGTGGGTCGTGGAATGTGTGGAAGAAAGGATCGGCACGGCGTAACGCGGTGGTCCATTGGATGACCGTTTGGTGTTGGCGTTGCCAGAGTGCGTTTATGGTTTGATGATTTACAGTCACGGCCATAAATATTCGCACGGCCAGTGTGCACATTATTCGCGATTTATGCCGGGCCCGGCTCCATGCATAACTCATGCAACAGCACATGTAAAATTTATGCAATTATTAATTTAACACGCCTGCAATGACCTCTGCAAAACCAAACCACCCCTACACCCACTAGATCTCTCACTCTTACACTTCTTCCAGGGCCTATCAATACGGATCTAATCAAAGCATTTAACGGCACTCTGACACCACTCCGCTTTCCGTACTGGAAGAACCAATTTGTAAGGCTGTAAATGGAGGGAGAGAGAGAGAGAGAGAGAGAGTAAGGGGTTATGTGCACCCCCACACCATAATTTACTCGACGAGCAAAAACACTCACGGAAAAATAATAAATGTCCAATATGTTAGCCCAGCCCTGGCCAACAACACACACATAACGGTACGGGGGAGGAGGGAGCCAAAGGAAAGGCTACATACAACAACACTCTCCAACATACATTCAGGGCACAAAATCGACATCAGTGACAGAAACAACAACAACAGAAGCGCAGTAGCGAAAAAAAATGGTCTATGAATAAAAGCTTTTGATCGAATTTGGTATACCCTAGAGAATCATTGTAAAAAGAAGGAGCTAGGTAGTTTGATCCTTAAAACAGACTTTTTATAATTCTACCTAATAAGTATATTCATTATACATATTATTACCTTGAAGGGCACAGCAACCTATGGACGCTGCCCCATGAAGCGCCTAAAGCATCTACTTTACACAGTTGTCGTATGAAAAAGTCTTCTGATCTAAATAAAATTAAATAAATAAAGCTAGTTTTAGAGTTTTAAAAAATCTCATCTACATTGAAACACCCTCTAGTAGGGTATAGCAAAACCATGTCCATTCGGCATGTGTGAAGCGAAGTATGATAAGGAGGAGAAGTGGTCAAAGTCCTGTGTGGAGAAGATGGAAAAGAAGCTGGCTGGGTCGTGGGGGAAGGGAAGGGCGAGGGGCCACCTGCTAGGCACGGAGTGCATGGCAGTGAAGTTCCTCCATTGCGAACATGGCCAACATGTCGCTCCATTAATTTGCCATAAAACAGAAGTGGACTAAAATTTGTTTGTAGTTGTTATTGTCCAGGCAAAAAATTACAAATGGTTCCGCTCCAGGGGGAGAGAAACATAGCCAGCAGCGGGCAAGGGGATGAACAGGGAGGGGGCAGGGAATACACTGGTAGAACTGCTCTGCCGAAGAGGTCAAAAGCTAGGGGTCTTCTTATTTATGGGCACACAGGCACATTTTCTGATGTTCTGTTAAATGTCCACAATGACACATTGAGGACACCCACTATGTATGTATGTACATATGTATGTATTTGGTTTCTGTTTGCCAGCGAAGGGCATTAGTAGGGCTCGACTCCAAAGATCTATTTCCATTTCCATACATACATACATACATATGTATTCATATGATTTGTACCTGAGATGTGTAGATAAGAGATCCAAGAAACCGGCAAACAAAACCTAATCTGACTGCAATTTGCACACAATAAATGTAAACGAGCAAAAGAGAATGGGAAAAAGAAACACAACTTGGAGCGGCAGAGTAGCGGTAGCCGACTAGTACATACCTATTAGTTAAATGCAATAAAGCAACGCACTTTGGTAACAATCATTCGTTGTCTCGTTTTTAACACACAGCGAAGCGAACCACCAACATACGGTACAAGCGCAAACATGGAATGTTGAATCGAACATGTTTGAAGCCGTGCTTGCACGATCGTGCAGGTTCGATCCAACTTATTGCAGTTCTTAGGCACATACAAAAATCCTTCGATATATAGAATAATCTTTATAGGCAACTCTAGCAACAAACAGGAGCCACAGGAGCAATTAAACTAATTAAAATCCGCATTAATTATACAGACAACGACTTTGCTCATCCTGCTGACCAAGAATCTACGTAGTCCATGTGTTATTTTCCTCCACATGTTACGTACAACATGCCCTTTGTATTTTAAGAGTAATGGGTACATCAAAATGTACAGTTGATCAGGTTAGAATATATGTACATATGTATGTATTTCTCTTCAATAATATTCCTATCGCACACACCCACACCCATTTACGAACCTCTCTATTTTTCTCTCTTGAGAGCGCTGCAATCTCTCTGTATCGTTATTCAATCAAAATAAATATAAACAACGAAACAGCTGTTTTCGAGTGTGGGGGGCTGATAACATTTGACCGCTGATTCGTTGGGAGGCAAGTCGATTAGTTTATTATCGCCTGCACCGACGTAGTTGACCCTCCCAGAGGCCCCAGAGCGATGGCGATAATTGTTAATGTTTAGTCGCTTGAAGATTTTAAAAAACAGTTCCAAGTCAACATTCAAGGCGTGCGGTTGTGAATTTAATAGAACTACTAAAATGGCAAAGGACAATCTGACTGCAGTGCTGTATGGCATTGAGGATATGCGTTTGGTGAGGTTTTTGGAAGGAAAAAAATTACAGAATTCCTAGAACTCTCCTTTTGTTTTCCAGGAGCAACGTCCCATTCCAGTGATAGCCGATGATGGTAAGTGCCAGAGTGGAATACTCGTATTCTACAGATGATAACAATTCTCTTATTCAACTTGAATTCTCCTTGGATCAGAGGTCCTGCTTGCCATGGATAGTGTGGGTATTTGTGGCTCCGATGTGCACTACCTCAAGGAAGGACGCATTGGTGACTTTATAATGACCAAACCCATGGTCATTGGACACGAGGCTGCCGGTGTTGTGGCCAAATTGGGCAAGAACGTGAAATCCTTAAAGGTGGGCGATCGTGTGGCCATCGAGCCGGGTGTACCCTGCCGCTACTGCGAGCTCTGCAAACAGGGCAAGTACAGTCTCTGTGCGGACATGGTGTTCTGTGCCACGCCACCATACGATGGAAACCTGACGAGATACTACAAACATGCCGCCGACTTTTGCTTCAAGCTGCCCGATCATGTGTCCATGGAGGAGGGTGCACTGCTGGAGCCCCTTTCAGTGGGTGTTCATGCCTGTCGTCGTGCTGGCGTGGGCCTGGGCTCTCGTGTGCTCATCCTGGGCGCTGGACCAATTGGTTTGGTCACTCTGCTGGTAGGTCATCCGTAGATTAAGTGAGAACTTCTGTAGAAAACTTAACATTTCCCTTTTGTAGGTCGCTCAATCCATGGGCGCTTCGGAGATTCTCATCACGGATTTGGTTCAACAGCGTCTGGATGTGGCCAAGGAGCTGGGTGCCACTCATACGCTCCTGCTGAAGCGGGATCAAAGTGCCGAGGAGGTGGCCGAGATTGTACGCCGTACAATGACGGCACAGCCGGACAAGTCCATTGACTGCTGTGGAGCTGAGAGCAGCGCCAGATTGGCCATTTTTGTGAGTGAAGAATGGCATATTTTTTGGGAGTCAAAGAACTAAATTTGTACTTTTATTTTTCAGGCCACTGTTTCTGGTGGTGTTGTGGTGATTGTGGGCATGGGTGCCCCTGAGGTGAAGCTGCCTTTGATCAATGCTTTGGCTCGTGAGGTGGATATTCGTGGTGTTTTCCGCTACTGCAATGAGTAAGGAATCAATAGAAAAATCCACAGAAAACAATAAATTTATCTTTAATTATTCTACCCTACAGCTATTCCGCTGCCTTGGCTCTGGTAGCCTCTGGTAAGGTCAATGTCAAGCGCCTGGTGACCCATCATTTCGATATCAAGGAAACGGACAAGGCTTTCGAGACCTCCCGCAAGGGTTTGGGCGGAGCCATCAAGGTGATGATTCATGTGCAGCCCAGGAACACAAACAATCCCGTGAAATTCTAGATATTTCACCTCTGTATATAAGTTTCCATTTTTTAGCCAGTAAACTGTTGAACTTTATTCAAAAAAAAACAAAGTATTTTATTTACACAACACCCAGGGACAGAGACGACAGTTATGTAATATTTATTTTTCGACTGTAATTTTCCGACAATATCCAAATTTTCAAGAGTTCACACCAATAGCTGAAAGCAGGCAAAAACCAAAATGATCGGAAGAATACCAATCAGTCGTTACTTGCCCATTCATTATATGGGACTACTGCGTCCTGCCCTGAGATCTGCACAGTTGTCACCTCTGGCGGAGCGACGCCTTAAACATGGAACGGAGGACTCGGGAGAGGAGTCATCAGATAAGGCTCGCACTCGCCTGCGACAGGTGAAAACTATTCAAGTGCGACAGGGTTTTTGTGGGAGAAAAAATCCGGCCGGGGATGGTGCAGCAACAAGCGGCCTGATGACGGAGTACGTGGGGCATGACAAGCAGGAGGCTATAATGGATACCAAAGAGGAAGAAACTCGGAATGAAGCAAAGGTGGAGCCCATGAGTGAAGCAAAGAATGAACCCGTGAGTGAGGCAGTGACTGAAGCCAAGGAGGAAGCCTTCTCTGAAGAAAAGCAAGAACCCATTAGGGAAACAAACGACTCCCCAAACAGTGATGTCAAAGACGAACCCTTCACCACCGAAATCCCCCAAGAGCGTAGACAGGAGTCTCCCTTCGAGTCCAGGCCAGAGCTACCCATGGAGGGGCAGCCCGCCACTCCCACACAACCATCCCCACAACAACCAAATCCCAAGAATCCCTATCACATCGTGACATGTCAACAGGATCACCAGGATTCACCGCCATCAAATGCTGAAGCGTCCGAAGGTAAAGTAAAAGTGTCTGGCACGATCATGTTCAAGGAGAGCTCTCATTTTAATACCAACTCATTGCACATTCTGGAAAACGAAGCAACGAAAAAAGGGGAGTCCATGAATGTTTGGGCACAATCCTTTGGCTCAGAGGCAACGAGCTCTGATGTCATGGAGCCCGCGAAGAAGGATAATGTAGACTCTGCCGCCAAGGAAGAGAAAACGCAAATCATTCTGGATTTTGAAACCCAAGCCTCAACTAATACAGAAGGAAACATAGATATTAAAGTCAATTCTTCGACAGCCGATGATAGTCTGAGCTCTGAAAACAAGAACGAGCTCAGCGAGGGCACGCAGGCGAAGATTGAAGAGGTATATCAAACGACTCCAAAAGGATACGAGATTGGTTGTGTGGTCGATTTTAGTGGCATAGTCCAAAGACCCAAAGATTCAGCAGTGAAGGCAGAACAAGCCGTGGAAGCCATTGTCCCTGAAACTACAAATCTTGAAGATAAGCTCCAGACATCCTCGACAGCAGAGAACGAAGAACAAGCCGTGAAAGACGTAGAAGAAGTCGAAACTATTGTCCCTGAAAACCCCGAACAGACAGCCTTCAAATCACCCACCAATAATTTAACCATTAGGATCGTAAGGAATGAGGATGGTTCGCCGGTTCACCCGGTAATTACTACGCGAATACCTTCATCGGAGCTCAAGTCGGATAGGGATGCACCGCCAGAAGAGGACTCTTCTTTGAAACGTGATTCCAAAAGAAAGGTAGAGTTTATACAGACCCAACCGGTGCTCACGAGCGATGGGGAAATGAAACTGTTGGTACCCACATCAGAGGACTTGAGTCCGGAGCAATCCTTGCAGAAAGCCACAGAAATTAAACAGGAAACTAATGAACTTCAATCGGAGAAAACAGAACTCCAATTGGAGATGAAAAAACTGTATTTGGAGGCAACACAACAGAAATCGGAGGCAAAAACAATTGAATCCGAGTCAAAAGAACTTCAATCGGAAATGAAAGAACTTGAATCGGAGGCAACAGAACTTAAATCGGAAATGAAAGAACTTGAAGCGGAGGCAACTGAACAGAAATCAGAGTCCACAGACGCTGTTTCCGCATCCCAGACAGGTGCCCAGAATACTCCTAAGTCAGCGGCGGAAATAATCTCCATGCTTGAGCACAAACACAAAGCCAAGAAATCCATGTCCTTTGATCTGCCCATTAAATCCACATCGCAGATAGTTCAAACATTTGGTTTGAGACCCGAACCTGGTCAAGGATTCAGAGCCAAAGGCACGCTAAACAGAACCGAGTTGGACCGACAAGCCGATGAATACTTTGCGAAGATCAACGAACCGGAGACCTTACAATTGGAGAAGAAAAGGGAAGAAGAGACGGCGCATATGGAGAGTAAAATGCAATTAGAAACTTCACAATTAGAGAACAAACTGGAGGCAGAAACCTCAGGAGTGGAGACGAAAATGGAAGCAGAAATCTCAGAATTGGAGAAGACAAAAATGGGACCCGAAAGCTCAACCTTGGAGATGAACGTGGAGCCAGATAACTCCCAACTGGACAGAAAAGTGGAACAAGTAGAGACCGCAGAGGAATCCAACAGAAAAGCTGAGGCATATTTTGAAACTATTGCCGAACTAGAGACCTCGCAGCTTGACAACAAATTGGAAGAAGAGCAGAGCCTTGAGGAATCAAAGGCCTCCGCGTTTGAGGAAATGTCAAAAGCTGATGAATACTCTGCCAAAATTAATCCCGAGCTGGAAACTTCTCAGCTAGACAGCAACGTGGAACCCGAAGTCTCAAAAATAGACAGAGAAATGGAACCCAAAGTCCCAAAATGGATGAGAAACGTAGAAGTGCAAAACCCGCACGAACCCAAAGAGTACGCTGCATTTAAGGCCATGGTTCAAGATAGAAAAGCTGATGAATACTTTGCCAAAATAAACGAAGCCGAAATGTCACAGCTGGACGGGAAAATAGAACCCGAAAGCTCACAATGGGACACGAAAATGGAACCGAAAACCGCCAAGAAGCAAAGAAAAATTCTCCTGTCACCAGATACAACAAAAGAAGGCACCCCAGAGAACGCAAAGTCTTTCGAGGAAAAGTCCACCAGCTTTATACTGACACGCAGGGGGGAAAAGGAGCAAGCAGATGACACAGACTTGAACGAGACATCAATGGAAATGAAGCTAGATGATGCCATAGCCGACCAGAAAGTGGAGGAAACAAAGGACGAGCCATCTGACAGACCTCTCTTTGTGCCCCCTGACGACAAGGATAGGCTGAAAGAAAAGAGTCTAATGTCCGAAGGAGATCTCTACAAACCCCAATCGGAGGATCCTATGGCTGATGATGTGGCAGATTATGATTCAAAGCCGTCACCCACAAAGCCGACCAGCAAGGAGGAGAAACCCAGAAGTAAACCCAAGCTGGAGGATGGAGAACTAGACATCAAGCTCCTAGTTCGAGACGAAAAAGCCGAGACTGCCGCCGGTACACCCAAGACAACTGCCGCATCAGACAAACAGAACTTTGTTCAATATATCGTTGGGAAAATCTTTCGCAAAGGAAGGAAGACCTCACCCACAAACAGAAAAATGTCCACATATTGCCAGAGGCGTGACTTGAACAAAAGCTCTACTCTGCTTTGTCCTGAGGATAATGACATATTCGATGATCCGTACAGTCCAGAAGAGGGCAAGATAATTAATCCAGACGACAATGATTTCATTTCGCCAGATCTCAAGAGGCAGGGTCTGGGTGCCAGAGCCATACGCGAGGACCGTGAAGCGAATGGGGAATATGGACAGCCCCAAGCCATGAACAAGGATACTCCGAAGGGTGTTTGGTCAATAAATAAATCAAAGACTCCTTTGAGTCCTCAGCCATCGGTGAATATGAGCACGGCCATACCCATGTTGCAGTTTTCCAGCGATAACAAAGATCCCCTGAAGATTCTCGGCGGTTCCGCCAAGTGCAAAAACCGCGAGAAGACAATACGCGAACAACTGATGGAAAAGAAAGAAGATAAAGACAATAAAATTGAGATCCTGGGCGGCTCCGAGCAGTGTGCCGAAAAGTTGAAGAAACTGAAAAAGAGTCCCAAAGATGATGATTGCAAAAGCAGTTTCAGCAGCTACTTTGAAGGATTCACCAAAATGTTTTGGGTAAGTGTACTGCACTGAAGTAAATAAGAGAATAAATACTGCCAAGTGATAGCAGAACTTTCGCTGTACAGTACAGTAGGTTCAATGTCACACCGAGGTGACAAACAGAACAATTCTACCGACTCGTAGATAAGTTCTACCTCTCCGTAGAGTGGAAAATATTTAGCGTCAATTAAATGTTTATTCCACCCCATAGCCAGCCGCCTACTGATAAGATTCCACAACTTTTGATAGCAGCAGCGCCTACGCGTTGAGAGCATGGGAATAATCACTTGGGTTGGCTTGGGTTATTTGTAGGTCAAGAAACTAATCGAATTTCCAACTAATGGCCAAACAGTCTTCTAGTGTTTCAGAGGCAGAACCACCAAAAAAGGAAAAATAGGAGAGCAAAATGCAGAAGAGGTTGCCCTGCCAATTGAAGCTAATTGATGGAGAGGACTCACAATCAATTCGCAAATTTAAATTATTTCTTTATCTAAATAAATTTATCTAAAAATTCTTCTAATTAAAAGTATAATTTGAGATTATTTAAATCACTCATTACTCTTATTCGCGAGCTCTGGTTATTTTCACGAAATGGTTTTTGGTGCCGAATTTTAGTGCCAATACACAATATCAGCGTATTACATACAAACAGATTATTACATGCACACACAGCTTATTACATGAGAAGCTTATTACCGTGGAAGCGGCGCGCATTGGGAGTTTTATGGATTTTTTTATATCTTTACTAAAAAAATGTTTTTGAAAAGTTTTCGAAAAATAGTGGGCTATCCTTTTTCCTTTTTAACTTCCATCAGTTACTGCCCAAAAGCAGTCAGTTAACATCGAATGCTCGATAGGCTCGTTTCTAAATGTTTCGGTTTTTGTTTTTTTAAATTTTTTTTAGCATTGTCTTAGGACTTGCAGTCCCAAATGAAAACTCTGCATTCCTAATCACTTAATTGCGCGTACTTTTTGATCATTAAAAATTCGTTGTAAAATTCAAATAAATTTCACGTATTCGAGATGCTGAAAAGAACGGCATTGGCTTTGGGCAGGAGTGTTAAGAAATGCTTAGCTGCATGCAAAGGCACGATGCAGCAGCCAATCACCATCTTTAGCAGCTGCAGTCTCAACAACACTGTCAACGAGCAATACAAGACGAAACTGGAGCCGTTGGATAAGCGTAAACTGCAAACGTTATGCAAGAGTTGGCAGACAGGTGAGTACAGGATAAGGATAAGGATAGAGTACAGATCAGATAAAACCTCTCCCAATGATACACGTGCATAGATCTTACACTGGACATAGATGACACAGGCTTGTGTGACTGTTCGGCCGACAACTTATTTCTTCAGCATTATTTGGTCAGCTCATATGTGGCCGCTTGTAAGGGCGCCCAGGAGGTGCAGTTTGTCAAGGATTTCCGGATCAACAACTGCAATTTGCCCTTGCCTTTTCGAGTCACCGCTAGAAATATTCATACCCTAACATCGAAGACATTAGACTTGACGATTCGTGCAAATCCATTAAAGACCATTATCCCCAAGAAGAAGAAGGATAGTTCGCTCAAAGTGATCAGGGAGGTAAAACCCCTTAAGAACTATAGTTCCCCAGCTCTTGACAAGGATTTCTCGTACTATCTGAACCTGCAGAAGGCCAACAAGATCCAGAAAGATGACAAAACAATCGAGAAAGTGCCCGATAATAAGAAGGACATCGATCAAATATGGATGAATCCACAATTCAGACGCCAACAAGAAACCATGTCAAAATGTGGCAAGGACGACAAGAAAGAAGAGAAAAAAAGTGGCAAGGAATGCAAGGAAACGGATAACAAAAAGATAAAGGAGAAATCAATGGACCAAATCTGTAAGCTTAGAGAAGAGTGCTCGAAAGCGGAGAAGAAAATCCGGGCCGAAATGTTCCTGAGAATGTGTAAGGCGCGGGCCGAGAAGCAACAGTGTACACGACAGGGTAAAGGGGATGTGAAGAAAGCACTTCGAAAGAAATGCAAGAAACAGGTGCAAGATTTAAAGTGCAAGGGCAAGGATGCTAAGGATGTAAAGAAGGAACTGCGAAAGAAGTGCAAGAAAATGGTGGAAGATTTAAAGTGCACGAAAATGGCCGAATCAGCGAAATGCAACAAAGGTGACTCAAAGGAAAACCCCCAGAAGCAGGCAGAACAAGCAAAGTGCAAGGATCAAAAGCTCAAGTGTCAAGCGGCTAAATTGAGAGAGCTCCAGAAGGCTTGCCAGGAATTAGCCGACAAGATCAAATGCGCCAAGGAGGCCAAGAGAAAGGAGCTGATAGAAGCCTGCAAGGCGCTGGTCGAAAATGATCGACTGGCCAAAGAAAAGAAGCAGAAGGCTGAAAGCAAGGCAGGAGGCGATTCCTGCGAAACAAAGAAGCAAGTAAAATGCGGCGACAATCCCGACTACAAGAAAAAACTCGAAGCCGAACGATATCTACGAAGGCAATGCGCAAGATTGGCCGAACAGAGCAGATGCAGGAAAATCCGGGAACAGTACAACTTGGAGAAGAGAGCAGCTGAACTAAAGAAGCAATGCGCAATAGTGGCCAATGCGAATAAATGGAGCGCGCTGGACGAACCGAATAAAGCCAAGGAACAAGCGCAACTGGGGACATGCCAGAAGCCCGAAGAGGAGAAGAATCAGTGCGCAAAGTCTGCTCCCTCCAAGTAGAATGCCAAGTCCACCAAAAACAGGCAAACAAAAGTCAACAAGAGCGAGTGACCCAAAAGTAAAAAGAGGCAAAAACTGAAGGATGCCGGAGCCAGAAATTCGACATGTGAAGAATGTTCCATAGATTTCATTACCAATGTCGTTGAACGCTAATTCTACCTGATTCTCTGAGTGAAAAAAAAGAGAGCAAAATATGGAACGTTCCTCGTTAGATTTTAAAATAATAACATATGCGTTTTATTACGAGAATCGCCGTATGAGTTTTACTTTAGCTTAAAGTTTTCCAGGCACTATTTGCTGCGAATAGAACTGAATTTTGTTTGAGCAGCGAAATTGACAGAGTTTTGTGCGCTTTTATAACGTGTACAATATATGGGAGATTGGCTGCTTTCGCTTTGGACGGAAAGCTATTATCAAATAAATGCAAAGCCGAACAAACAAAAAGAAGAAACGACGAAAATTAGTCGAGAGCACACTTGAATATCATTACTGGGGTCAGAGTACGAGATTTGTTTTTAGTGATTCACTGGCGGCGCTGTGGCATTGTTGAACTGAAACGTTGGATAGCGTGGAGCAAAGCCCCCCTCGCCGCTCATCTGCGTGTGCTCCGAGTCATCGCGTCCGGCAATGGTAGGCGCCCGATACTGAGTCTCCACAAACTGCGGTGGCGCTGCAACAAAATAGAGTTTAAATCAACTTTTCGTGCAGAAAATCTCAGTACTCACGTATATTGGGATAAAGATTGCCACCGCCGCCAGTGCTATCGGCCACACTCCAGCCCTGAGCCCCACCCATAGCAACGCCCGAAGCGGGTGGACTGGCTGGACTCACCGGCTGTGTGGGCGCCAGTGAGGGATCCTCCGATTGGATAGCCGGAGCATCTGTGTATTGAACGGGTGGCCTCATGCCGGCCAGCGGAATGGTCCCCAAAGTGATGGGTATTTTGCCCGTTAGATTTCTATGCGCACCGCTGACATCACATGTCACATGCAGGTCATAGTCCAATGCAATGATGCCACAGTTGGATAGATTGGTTGGCGGCAGTGCGGGTATCTCCAGCTGCTGCGTAAACGTGTGCGAGTCGCCGCCATTCACTGGGCCAATGCTGAGATTGGAAATGATCACCTTCGATTCGCGTTTCTCGCTGCGCGGCTGGCTGGTATGGAAGGTGACCAGCTTGCGAAGCTCAAACTTCACGGCACTGAGATTCACATTGCTGGCGTTGTCCACCTCGCATGTAATGGGCAGAATCTGACCCGAGACATAACCAGTTTGCGGAAGGCTCGTGATCACGGACAATGGACCCGACGCACAGCAGAAGCAGCAGAATGACTTCTCCAGTTCCAGCTTAAAGGGATCCTTGACACGTGGATTAAGATTCAAGTCGACCGGTGCAATGACCGTAAAGGCCATTTTCATATCCTGATCGAATTTCCAGGGCCGATCCAATGTCACCTTGATGGTATAGCGCACATGTCCGAATTCGCCCTCAAACGACGACGGCAAAGTGGGGGGCAAGGCGCAAGTGAAGGGATAGGTGTGGGTGCCCGGCGGCAGCTCCGTCTCAGAGCCTGAAAGAGTGTGCCATTAGAGAGGGAAAATTCTTGTGGTTAGATTTGTCCATGGAATACTCACTGTTCTTGCCGCCCAGCAGGTAGTATTGGATCTTAAAGTACTCCTCATGCCCCTTCAGAGTTGTGATTTCATTCTCGGTCTTGCCCTCGCTGGTGGTCACATTACGCTCCTCATTCCACTCCGTATTGGCCTCGCCCAAGAATCGTATTATGATGCCTGCAAAGAAGAAGTGTTTGCTATGAATGACAATTTACTGCGGTCCAACCCCAACCCTCTGTAAAATTAGCTATAAATAATATAAAAGCTACTGCGTCTCTGCTACGCTCTCGCTGACGACTCTCGCTCTTGGCATACCCAACAGATGACATCATCGCTAGGCAGCAGAGCAGCAGCACCAGTCACCAGCCATCAGCATCGTTCCAATACGTTTGCTGGCCTCAATCAAAGGTTTGGGTCTTTTGTAATGGAACGCATCCCCTACATATACATATTTATTATATTCACACTTGTGCCTATAAATAGTTTTGTTATCTCTCAAATTGGAAGTGCAAACAATGGGTGAGAAAGTGCATTTCTTCGATGGGTTCAACAACCGCGAACAACTGTCAAAAGCAGAGCCACAACTGCTCCACCCAAGGAATAGGGTGTTGGGTGGTGTGGTGTGGTTTACATGACGACACCCGGCTTTTAAGGTGCCAGGACTGCCCTGCCCCATGGTTAGCAGCACAAAGAAAGTGGCCTGCATATATTATACATTTATTTATTCTAAGCTGTCGTCACTCTGATGAGTAATAAACCGCAACCTCTCAGCTGATGTGAATAATTAGTACGTACTCCCCTCTCCACAACGCACAAACGAAATATTTCAATTTTGACATCACTCACCTCGAACTTTCTTGGGCGAATCGAAAGTGAATTTAGCCTGGCCATTCACAGTCTGTCCGGCATAGTACGTGTTCCAGGGATTGTCCAATTCCACTTCACAACCTTTCAGACCCATGTCGGAGATTCAATGTTTAATGCACCAGCAAATTAACGACAAAAAGTTGTTTTGAAACGGATTCCGTACGCTCAATTCTGTGTCTAGTGATGGGAAAAGTTTGCACACAACTAGCGATGGGAGATCATAAAAGTATTTCGATTATTTTATTGTGACCAGCTGGATATACCTATTTTCCACTACACTCTTTAATATGAAAGACAGCGATAGACTCACTGGAAAACCAATAATATTTCATTTTTTCTCATGCTATCTCTTCTAGACATGAAGCTGGTGAGTGTAGTGGAGTACGGGCGACTATCTTGTCTTGTCTGATTTTCACTGTGACCCGTGACATTTCACATACTTATCGACTGCAGCCCATCTCCATGACAATACGAAGAAGAAGGACTTTTGCGAAAATTCTCTTTTTTCTCTGCTTTTTTTAAACAAATTCAATTTAAAGTTAACTGCAGCATCGCATTAAATGTCGCTGTTTCGCAAGCCGAAGAAAATACAGCGACGAGTGTTCTCCAGCAGTGTGGACGAGGACAATGACGGGGCCACGTTGGACATGGACGCCGAGAGGGAGTCGGCACCGCCGCCGCCGCTGATATTATCCGGCAAACGCGACAAGGAAAAAGTGAAGAAAACCATCAAAACAAATGATGACAACAAGCCAAAAGCTTTGCTTAGCTTTGTCGACGATGGTGAGTGCAAAAATTGATCAAATCCCAAAGCGTTCCAATTATAATGATTAATTGATTTTGCAGAGGATGATGGGGAGGAGGTTTTTCAAGTGCGGAAATCGTCGAATAGCAAGAAAATAATGCGTTTAATGGACAAGGAGCGGCGCAAGAAGAAGCGCGAGGAGCGAACGGAGCACGGTAGCACGGAAAATGGTAGTACACAGCATTTAGAGTCGTCCAGTGCCACGGGTGCTTCGGGTGCTACAAATTCTAGTAGATATAAAAACGCGAGCAACGATCAGAGTAAAAGTAAAAAAAGTGATAATCATATGATCCAAACCGAAATACGCACAGACGACTTTGTGGTAAGGTTATTATTATTCAATTTTTCTCTCACCATTAAAAAAAAACTGAAAAATTACAACTCAACAAATGATATGATACTGAATAGAATTCTTATAATTAAGAGAAATTATTCAAACGAAAACCTTGAATGATGAAGGCGATTGTGTTGTTGTTTTAAGCTATAGTTTGAAGTCCACATATAACCATAAGTTGCTGTTGTAGTCGATCCATTTCTAAGCTTATACCACTATAATTGCATGCAACCACTTTAATATGCCGCATGAATATTCTCTTACATCTTTCTCCATCATGCACTTTTTCAGGAGCTATCCATTAATATTTCTACCTGTCTTTGTTCCCCTAGCTCGTGGTTAAGAAATCAGAGACGCCCGAGGCTGTTCTGAACGGTCGCGCTGCCCTCTGTGCCGGTCGTGATGATATGAGCGACGATGGTGGGGATCCATTGGACGATGGGGGCCACAGCAAGGAGCATCATCGCTTCTCCAAGCCGGAGGCATTAAAGCAAATGCTGGAGAGTGGCTCCATACCAGATGCGGCCATGATACATGCCGCTCGCAAGCGACGACAGCGAGCGAGAGAGCAGGGTATGAATGGGAGGGATACTTGCTGTCCATGACCTTTCCTAAAAACCATCTTGGAATTCCTTTAGGTGCCGGTGATTATATACCCATTGAGGAGAACAAAGAGCCGCCAAAATTGAGCACCCGCCTGCCCAATGAGGATGTCGAGGGCGATCAGTCGGACGATGAGGAGCGTGTGGATATGAGCGACATAACCGGTCGCAAGGAGCGCGAAGAGCGTCGCGAGCAGTTCTATGCCGTCGAGAATGATTGTATGTAGAGTGTGGGCCATCCCCCCCAAAGGATGTGGCCAGAGCTGACGGCAGCTGCTCGTCACTCAGATGCCTTCTACCTATGGTTTGTGCCCAATCGATCATCTAATCTTTGTTCACTCTACTTCAGTGACCGATGAAGACTCTGACCGCGAGATGAACGAGTGGGAGAACCAGCAGATCCGCAAGGGCGTCACCGGTGCCCAGCTAGTCCATGCCCAGCACGAAACTGTGCTCTCACGCTTCATGATCAAACCGGCGGCGCCCAGCGGTGCTCTAGCCCTGGAAGACGACGACCAAGTGGCCCCACAGTCCACCTCCACATTGCTGGAGCAAGCCTATGCTAAGAATGCCCTCGATCGCAGCCATCTGGCCTCAGCCATGCGCAACTCTGCGGCAAAGCCCAAAAAGGACAAACCCAAGGCCACAGCACTGCGCACACCCCAGGAGATATTCACTGCCATTCAGACACGTCTCGCCGAAATTAAGGAACGCTCGGCAGATCACTCGGCTACCATGGCCAGAGTCAGCTTGGAGCTGAAGGAACTGAAGCTGCAGCAGCAAGAGTGCCAGAAGAATGCCCCAACGGCGGCAGCCAAGTACAAATTCTATCAGGAGGTCAAGTGCTATGTGAACGATCTGGTGGATTGCCTGGCCGAGAAGAGCCCCGCGATCAATGAGCTGGAAAAGCGGGCCCTGCAGCAGTCGGGAAAGAATAATCGCTATCTGGTTAATCGCCGGCGACAGGACATCAGAGATCAGGCCAAGGAAATGGCCGAGGCATCAAGTAAGAGTATTTAGTTTCACTTAATTAGTATTAGTTTTCATTCTGTTTTCATTTGTATAGAACCCATTGCCGCTGCCGCTCGTCGCACACCCGAATACGAAGAACAAGTGCGCCGCGCTGCCGAGCGGGAGGGACGAAGGACACGTCGTCGCTGCGAGCGAGAACGCAACGATCTCTTGGCCTCCCATTTGGATGGCATGTCCAGCGATGATGAAATTGCCGACCAGCAGCAGGAACAGTGTCTGGCTGCCACCGCGCAAACGCAAAAGGAAGCGGAGGAAGCCTTTGAAGATGTCACCGATGAATTCTGTAAAATCGAGCTCATTCTCATGAAGTTCTATGCCTGGCGGAAAACGGACATGTCCTCGTATCTGGATGCGTTTGTTAGCCTGTGTCTGCCCAAGCTATTGGCGCCACTAGTACGCCACGAACTGCTGGTGTGGTCGCCACTGCTGGAAGTCTATGCGGACATAGAGACAATGCGCTGGTATCAGGCTTGCATGCTGTATGCCTGCCAAGCAGATGAAACAATGGAGCAGCTAAAAAACGATCCAGATGTGAATCTAGTGCCTGCGCTCATTGATAAGATTGTGCTGCCAAAGGTGACATGTAAGTACAGCCAAAGACGTTGCCTTTGCCACTGAAAGTAACACCATTTTGTATTTTCTTTTAGCTTTGGTCACGGAATGCTGGGATCCCTTGTCTACCACACAAACACTGCGACTCGTGGGCTTTATCAATCGCTTGGGTCGTGATTTTCCACTCACCGGCACCAATAAGCAGCTAAAGAAACTCTTTGAATCGATTATGGAACGCATGCGTTTGGCATTGGAAAACGATGTGTTTATACCCATATTTCCCAAGCAGTAAGTGGAGATAATTTACCCACAAATAAAGGCTCTTAACTATTTATATTTACAGAGTCCAAGAAGCCAAGACATCGTTCTTTCAGCGCCAATTCTGCAGCGGATTGAAGCTCTTTCGCAACTTTCTCAGCTGGCAGGGCATTCTGGGGGACAAGCTACTGCGTGAGCTGGCCATTGGGGGGCTACTAAATCGCTACCTTCTGCTGGCCCTGCGCGTCTGCTCGCCTAATGATGCCATCAACAAGGCCTATATCATAGTGAATACCCTGCCCACGGTATGGCTGCTGCCCAACAGCGAAACTCTCAAAAATTTGGAACTATTTATAATGTATATAAAACAAACATTGGACAGCTGCGATTCCAGCAATCCAGTTTTTATGTGAGTACAGAAAAAGCTTTCCTTATCCAAACAGATCCTTACTTTATCTATTCTTTCTTTAGGCAATCCTGCGAAAAGGCCAAGCAAATGCTAATAAGACTACATAGTTATTAAAGTAAAAAACATCGCTCACATTTCAAAAACACCAAACCGAAAACAATCAAATGCGCTCGTTATATAGAAAGGCAATGCAAAGCACAAAACACTTAAAAATTCTATAATTTATAAGAATTTTAAACAATTTGTATATACCCCCATAACAGAAAGTGCTTGCTCGAAGCTTGAGCTTAGAAAAACAACTCTAATGAGATGAAACGCTTTCCTAAAACCCAAACCCCTCCCCCAATCGTTTTCCTATAAAACATTCAAAGTGATAAATTGTGGAACTCTGTTTAAGGCTCTTAAACCATTTTTGTAATTTTACTGATTGTATTCAAGGCGACTCGACGACTCTCGTGCATAGCAATAATAAAATATTTAAAAAACAATTTATAAACTATGCAATTTTAACAAAAAATCACTATTACAGACCATAACCAATTGAAATTTACGATATTATGAATGAAGCAGGAAGAGATCTCAATCTGCCTTGGAAACCGAGGCCCGTGTAAAGTTCTGGGCCAGTTCTACCACCTCCGTTTGCATGATTTGCAATTGTTCATGGGCAATTTTGGAATCGTCACTTTCTGGCGCTGCCTGTAGCACTTGCAACACCAAATCTACAACAAGAATATAGAGTAAAAAATTAATTTAAAAATATATGTGGCTATTATCTATCAAAGATGATTAAATACACACCATGATAGCGCAGCAGCGTGTTATTCTGTGGATCACTTAGAGAGCCACGTATGTGCTGCAATATGGCAGAGACGAATTTACCAGAGGCATGCAAAATGCAGCCGCTAATTGTGGTAAACAGTATCAGGGCAGCCAAATGCAGCAGCAGTGCTGGCTCTCGGCAGTCGAGCAGCTGTTGCTGCAGCGTCTTTTTGTGATCCGCAATCAGCAGGCGATCTTTTTTCCTGTCCACCTTTTTGATAATCATACTGCAGGTCTTTAGCACCGATTCGGTGGCCAGCTCAAAATCATCTATGGATTTGTTCAGGGCTTTGTTTTGTTCCAGCAGGGCACTGCGATACTGAGCGTCACACTCTTGGGCCAGTTTGATGCGTTGATCCACATTCAAGCTGGTATTCTTCACCGTCAGATTGCATTCACTGGCCACATACAGCGATAGTTCATTGCAGATATCATTGCCAAGGGATTTGAGCAGATATTTCACCAGCTGCGTCTGTGTGTCATGGCTAAAGAGCTTCAGACCCTTCTCATACAGCCGTATGTCTATCAGCAGCGTATTGATGCGATCCTGGATGGCGGCATGAGTCTGCCGACGATTCGTTTGCGGTGTGGCCTCATACAACTCCTGGGCTTTGGCCAACGCCGTCTGATTCAATTGACTGTCATAAATAGATAGAGAAATATAAAGAAAAGTTCTGTGTAATCTCCCATTCCACATACTTTAGATAAAGAGCTGCAATCGATGGGGCCAAGTGCTCCAAACCCTCTTCCTCTAGACTAGCGTTGATGAGCTTAACAATGTCCGCAGTTTTGACTAAATCTAATGGCTTTACAGTCTTTTTATTGCCACCGCCTGCTCCTCGGGCGCCCTGCTGCACATCGTCCTCGTCATCGGTATCGTTCTGGGCTGCTGCACTGCGTCGTTGATGCTTTTTCGTTGACTTTGTTTTGGTTTCACGTCCCTGGGCGCCGCCACCTGCTTTGCCAGAGGAGGCCTTCTTCCTACGCTCGTCACGCTTATCCACCTTTCCATCATCATCCTGGTCCTGGAAGGAAGTGTTACCTTTTTGAGCCAGACTCTTATCCACAATAAACTGCTGATAGACGCCCGTATCGATGGCTGCCTTGGCCTGTGTCTCGGCCAGAGCATGGGCTGGCTGCACCAGTTGCGTGAGATACGGCTGCGAGAACACTGAAAGCAGAACACACAGAATGAAGCATAAATCGATTTAATTATTAAAGTAGAATCCATACCAATGCTCTCCAGGTACACAAAATTGCTGGGATTGCTATGCTTCTGGGCCATAATGGCGCTGAAGACTTCTTCGATGTCCTCCTCCGACAGATTGGAAGGCAGAATGGTAGTCAAGTCCAAATATTGCTTGGTGGCACTGCATTCATTAAGGGCCGTAACGACGGTGAGCTCCACAAGACGAGCGCCGAGGGCCACGCGCTTCAGGAACAAGAACTCCTCGTTGGGAAATTGTTTGCGTATGTAGGACTTGGCATCGGAAATGCCAAGCTTGTTGATGGCATCGTACTCCAGAAAGCTGTTCTGCTTGTAGAAGGAGTTGACCCAATCGGCCTGCGTCTTAGCGTAGATGTGCGGCACATACTGGGCATTGGCCAGTTTGGAGGTCACCTGTCCGGCCGCCGATATCTCGTCCAGCAGTGAGTGAAAGATCTTCTCCTGAACATTGATCTGCTGCAGAATGACAGCCACATTTGTGGGCCTAGTGATGGCCGCCAGAGCACCACGTATTTTCGCCTTGCATCGCTGGATGTAGGCTTGGGTGAAGAAGACTCGCGGATTGGTAGCGTCTTGGCGGCCCTTGATGATCTTGCCCAGATGCTTCTCTACCACATCCTGCTGCAGAAACTCCGAGGGCAGATCGAATTGAGAGGCCAAATCGGAAATGGATATTTCGCCACGCAACGCCAGCTTCTCATTGATCTCCTGGGCAATGTGGCTGATGTAGTCCTCGTCGATTAGCTGTCCCAGCACCAGATGCACCAGGGGATTCTCTGCCGCAATGCGCTCAGCCAGTGCCTCAATGCGGGACAGATCCACATTCAATGTCCTGCTGACCTCCACCAGATTGGCCCGGCCTCCATTCGCATACAGCTCGTCCTGAATCTCGCGCTCCAAGTGATCCGGTGTAATGTACTCCTTGCCATCGTTGGTGAACACCACCTCGAGCAGCTGCTTCTCCAGCAGCAACGTCACAATCTCCACGCAATTGCGTTCCGAAAGCCTTTAAACGAAAAATGTAGGAGGGTCGGAAATAATTTGTAATTCGCGTACTTACTTCTGCAGTGTCGAGGTAAGCTGGGCTTTTTGAAAGTCCGCTGCCAGGCGCTTAATCTCATCCCAGTCACTACCCATTTTAATTGTTAAATTGAATAAATATGGAAATTTGAAGTGAAAAAACCTGAAACGTCAACAAAAGTGCACGCAGTGGGTCTTCGCAGTCACGGTTTACGGTATATTTTGTTGGTATATTAGGAAAATGATAGGGTATATTTCTGAGGGTCACACGGTATATATTTTATGATTTTCCTTTTTCTCTTTGAACCTTATTATTTAAGCAATCCAATAAAAAAGAAACCTTCAAAATGACCGATCTCGTGTAAAAATGATCCATCAATCGGATAAAACTATGTGTTCAATGTTGAATGTCCTAGCTAGCTAGTAATATTAAACGGAATATTAAAATTGATGAATATGATTTTCCTCGGTATGTTTACGGTATATTATGAAAAAGAGAAGGTGTTTTTGGGTATATTTCAAAGGGTCAGACGGTATGTTTTGTCGATAGATCCGCGGTCACACTGTTATCATTTGAAAATAAACGGTACCCAGTGCGCGTCGTCTTCTGCAAAATTTGTGTGAAATTTTCGTAAACCATTTAATTAGTGTTGAACGTATATTCTAAGGTAAGCATTCAGGTTGTGTCAATGGGTTAGATCAACAGTTTGAGCAGCACTGCCATGTGCCCAAAAATAAATCAATATTTTCCACACAGCAGCATCGTGTCATGTCATGGAATTTTGTGGTTGTCCCTATAGCGGGGCTTGGGAAGCGCAAGCGCTATGTGCGTGTGCGTGTGTCTGTCTATGTGTGCTGCAGCTGCCTTAAAATTTTATTTAGCACAGCTGCCATATGCATATAAATAAACGCATATCCTCTTGGGTTGCCTGTTTTATGCTCCATTCTGTGTTCCCCTTTGTCTTTTTTTAGCGGCCATGTTGCTCGTTTAGTCGGAACGATTGCATGCATCGGCTGACTGGGGGCCCAGCCACCTGAAAAACTAGCTAGAGGCAGTTTAAACCGAAATTTTTGCCAGCCGCGCGATTATACTCTTTGGAAGTGACGCTGACGCTGACAGCGCGCGGCCATCTCGGGCAACAGCAACAGCACAAAACCAAATCTGCCTTGCCTCTGCCCCTGCTCTGCCAGTTTCGTGTGCATCGCGGTTTTAGCTATAATCGAAAATACGTTTAAGTAGGCCCCATTCCCCCATTCACTGGTTAGACTTGATTTCCGACTGTCTTCATGTGCTGTTTCCATATACATATGTATTTTTTGGCTCAAAGCGAAATACAATAGGTAAAAAGAGCAGAGAAGGGTGATAGAGAGAGGAAGGAGAAGTAGAGAGAGTACATACTGACAATATCTAGATCGCGCTCATTACTCATAATTTCTACAACAAATACCAGCACACCGTCACCGTTAATGTTATTTATGTGCATGTGTGTTGTGTTATGTATGTATGGCTGTATGAGTGAGCCGGTAAGCGCGCGCTTAAGGGCAGGTACAGTGTTGCCAATTCTGTTTTCGTCCCGACATATCTGGCTTGAAAAAAGCCAACTGTTTTCCCCAAGTGTTTTTGTTGCTTTTTTGACCATCAAAATTAACGTCCGAAACACAAAATCTAGATAAAAACTATTATGGCCTTCTTAAAACATCGCTGCACTGGCAAGAGTCTCCTCGATTTTGTCTGCTGCTGCTGCTCTACTTTATTTGCTCAGCTGGGAAACGTTTGCTTTATTATGGGAAGTACAATACCCGCGCTGCTGGAGATCTTTGACTCTATGCGGTCATTCACTTTGCTTTGTTTTATACCCCATGCCCCAACATAATTGCGCTTGTGTATGTCTCTGTGGTGAACGTTGCCACCCCACTGCGTTACACCACTGGGACCGGGCCTGCGCCATCCCATCCCCATCTCCTGCGTTGCTCAAAGCATGATGACGCATCATTACAAATGTTTTACAGCGCTTCTGGCAGATGTCATCGCCTCCACTATGACCTCTTTACCCCGCTCCACAGCTTAAGCATGAAAGCAATGCAGAACAAATACTGGGGAAAAGAGCAACAGCAGCTACCACCACCACATGGAAATCTACTATTTATTGGCAATAGTTGTGCAGTTTTGGCCCACTGTGCCGGCAGGCTTGACACCAAAACCAAAAAAGCAACAACAAAGAAAGTGCGACAGCAACAAAGCGCGCAATTACAGTTAACGGCAAAGTGTAAAGAGAACGCAACCAGCAAAAATAGATAGATAGAGATGATAAATTTATGTGTATAGAGAGGGGCCAATAGCCAGGCAACCAAAGTGGCGTTGGGGCGGTGGAGAATACACCACACACATTCACGTACTCTCGTACATGTGAACTTCTCATTTTCTCTTCCCGTTCGATACCAGAGTTTCCTCAGTAGGGCGACAGGCGCGCGCGTCGTCACCGTCATTCGCTTTATTCTGCTGGCCACATCCGCAAGTGGCGTGACTGTAGTATTTCCATAGGCTAGAATTTATTGTATGCCATTGTAATGTGAGGAGCTGCAGGCCGCCATTTATTCATTTCACTTTTGTTTCTTATTCATTGCAGCAGAAAAACAAAAGCAACAACATGACATCCACCGAATTGAAAATTGGCATGACCTGCAGCGCTCGTCCCTCCAGCCGTGTACTGAAGCCTCCAGGCGGCGGACACACCAATATCTTCTCGGAGCCAGACGTTGCCGTACCCGCCCCACGCCCAAAATACAATCAGCAGAATTCTTCCAATCTGAATGCCTGCATGGGATCGACTGACCCCAACAAGGTGGTGGAGAAATTGCGCGACGAGGTAACCACTCCGAAGGAGGAATCCAAGCCCACTGCCAACAGTCAGCCAAAAGATTCGGGCAACAAGCCGGCGGCCACGAATGGCGAGGCGCGCGGACGAGTGCCACCCGGTGGATTCTCGTCGGGCGGCTTCTGGTAGAAGAGGAGTCCCCAGACAAGCATTTAATGACTCATACATCCTCAACCACCACCCACATAGACATACTACACATACAATCATGAACTAAATATAAATCGCTTATAAACATACGTATACACCTCTACATACATACCTACACTACATATACATACATATTAAAAGAAGCATTATATTCAAAAAATAATCTGCTGGAACAAGGAAGCCGCAGAAATACTTAGCTCTCCAAAACTATCCCCCCTATCCCCTAATTCGTTGCCTTTAAATGTATTTCATTATTATTCTAAAACGTCTAACGCATTTGTTGAAAATTTAAGTGACTCGTGATTCCGCCCTAACAAAAAATAACAAAGATAAAGAACCATGACTAAAGCTGTACCACCTAACAAAAACAACTTCCAAAACGAAGCTTGATTTTTTGCATTTTGTACTTAAAGAGAGGAAACTTCTAATAGTTTGTCCAACAAAAAAAACATCAACCTTACCCTTTTCTAACTATCGATGTAATATTCCAAAAATAAAAGAAAAAAACATTTAATTATAAATTGAGTTTGTTTTATTTTATATCGAGAATGCGTGGTCCGAGCCGGAAATTCTTCAGGCTCGAAATTATTTCTATTATATTTTACACATCAGCCTAAGAATTAAAAAAGGGTCCATTAAATCTTCTTCGTCGATTCTCCTTCGTTAAAGCATATTTCTATTTTAAATAAATACATCTCAATTGTATTTCCACTATTTTCGCCACATTGCAATATAAACATGCGTACACAGCATTCGCATTTAAAATTAAAAAAAAGAGTGCACGTTCCAAACTCCTTTTCGGTTTCTTTCCTTTGCGCGGCGTCGTTGTTGGTTCAGAATTATGTTATTTTACCATAAGGATATTCTGTCCTTATGGTAGGACCTTAAGACTAGTGGGGTGTTCATTTTTCTTTGTTAGAGACTAAAATATCAGACTATCAACTATTTAGATCTTCATGTCATTAATGTACGAGTCCAGTTCGGCGTCCAGCTCCTCGGCAGTTGGTGGGGCTTTGCGCTCGCGGCGTGGTCCGCCTGCGGGTTTGGGGGCACCACCGCCACCACCACCCGGGGCCGGACGTCTCAAGCCACCGCGACGCGGTCCACCGGCCTGGCCACCTACAAAATGAAGCGAGATGTAAGTGCCAAGACTGGGATTTGTGATCGATAGATGTGTACGTACCACCACGTTTGTAGGGAGCCGATGCACCAGCACCGCCGCCTACGCGATGCTTGATATCCCCTGAGGCCACTGGACGGGTCAAAGCATTGACATCGGAAACGGCAAGCTGTATGGTCATGGGACGTCCATCCAATGGCACGCCGTTGTACTGTTTGATTGCCTTCATTGCGTCGGTGCGACGTTCGAAAATAACATCTGCGGTGCCTGTGTGCGGGATGAGCGAGAATAGCGTTAGATGGGTTGATTGGATAAGGGATCGGTCTTCAAAACGCACCCAAAGAGCGACCGGAACGATCGTAGTGCACAGCTGCCTTCTTTATCGGTCCAAATTCATTAAATAGCTCCTTGATGTCGGTGTTCGAAACGCCGTAATCCAGATTGTTAACAATCAGGAGGGTTGGGCCAGATCCAGAGCTGGCAGCACCGCGCTTGGGTCCATCATACATATCGTGCTTCCAAGCGCTGTTCACATCGCCCTAAAGGTGGGGGTAGTATTAGGTAGAAGGGTATGTTGGTTTGAGCGCGTTGGGTATCAAATATTGTGGGAGTAGTCGTAGCAGTCGCAGCAGTTGTCGGTATCCTAGCCTCATGAGGACAGCGCCATCGAATGCAGAAACACAAAATATGTGCATGAAAAATATTGAACGTTGGGAACTGGGGAAAAAAAGAACTCAATACGAAACGCTGATCGTTCATTGCTTCTGTCTGGAAAAACTGTATTAAAAGGAACTTTATTTCGACGAGGTGATTGATACCAGGCGAGGAATTCCCTTCAAAACAGCCGATCCGAGGAGTAGTAGAGTAGAGTGTGGAGGAGTGGAGTCCATTTGAACAGCTACATTTACATTTTTCCCTCGCCTCGCACGTCAAAAACAAGGCCTGGCCTGGTCTGGCACCGTTAGTTGTTATGCACGGTGGCCATTTTGAATCCATGCAATTGTGTGAGTGTTTGGAATGCAGCTGTCAGAGCTCCGGGCTCCACACATGGCAGTGTCCTTGTGAATGCATGGATATTTTCTTGCTGCTCTGATGCTTTTCTTTGACTCTACATGAGACAAAACGTATGTATTACCCGTGCGAATTTCGACTTCTGTATGGCGCCGCCGCCGCCGCCACTACCACCGGCACCGCCACTACGGCGACCCTTGAGCACGCCGCCAGCACCGCTTGCTGGCGCTGGTTTCCTTGGCGATGAACCGGCTCCACCGCCGCGACGTGGACCGCCAGCCGGGAAACGCTGTTGTCCAGCCGGCCGACGTGCTCCGCCGGGGCCACCGCGAGCACCCTGTGGTTTTTTCTGTGTGCGGGTCGACTTGATGATATCGTCCAGGCTCATTTCAATTTTGTCCACCATCTTTGCTTTGTTATCAATGTGCTAAAGAGATCTCTGAGTTTATATTGACTGTTGCGCGTGAAATGCAATCTTAATTTCAACTTGAAACTCGCTTTTTCACAAATAACAGGCGCGTGTAATTTCACAAATTTTCACAAATTGAAGAAAGTCGCCATTTTATAGAGGTGTCAAACCAGGGCACTATCGATAGTATCGATATTTTGCTGCTATCGTCGGTTTTGCGACTATCATGATAGTATCGATTGTTTTTTTCAAAACATTCAACGTTGATATTCCTCGATTTTAATATTCCGTTTAATATTACTATCTAGCTGGCCCTCTCAGCCCAAAAAAAATAATTTTATCCAATTCCTCATTGAATTTTGTTTAGGATTGGCTAGTTTTCAGAACTATTTTTAATCGGATTGTTTAGGTAATAGGGTTCAAACAAAATAGGCCAAAGTATAAAACGTAAATGTTGACAAAATGTGACGTCAATGTTGCTGGTCAACCAAGTTTCTTATATGCGTATGTACTTTTGTATACCTTATTTCCTTTAATTGATGTTTAATTTGTTGTTTCAGGCTGCTTTGAAACATTAATATTGCATTTTCGTAAGATTGAGTTATTTTTTACCTATCTATGCATATGTTTTGTGTTTTATATATACATTTATCCCGGTTCTGATACCTATTATTGGTACCCATGAGCTACAAAATTCCGTTGATGTCTTTTAATAAGAGACTGAGTAGTTTCTGCATTCACTGAAGCCTGAAATTACAAACAATATCTCAAGTCCATAATATCCATTTTCCCAAGGTATGCAGATTGTTGCTCATTCCGTGCCAAAGTTGCAGAACAATGCTGCTAATTCATTTCCACATGTTGCTGAATTTTTTCCCATACAAATCAAATGTATCTTACGGGAACGCGTATGGAATGACGCAACAATGAATCTTCATTCCATACGCGTTCCCGTAAGATACATGTTTCTCACACCACGAAAACTCACCACGAAAACGCTCTCTTCACCTCAAAAAAGAGAGAAAATTTTGAAAACTCTCCACGAATTGAGAGCGAAAAATGTCAGTATTTTTGGTGCGCTAAATTGAGTTTGGCGGTCAATTTGAAATGTGTCTTAATATTTGGAAAAATAAATATTTCACTTGATTTGTTTTTTCGAGTGTGACTGGAACCTCAGAAACGTCATTTTCATTATATACCTTAAACATACCGAGGAAAATCATATTCATCAATTTTAATATTCCGTTTAATATTACAAGGTAGTTGGCCATCTCAGCCCTAAACAAATAATTTTATCCGATAGATACATAAATTTTCTACAAGATTGGCAAGTTTTCAGAAGTCCTTTTTATTGGATTATTTACATATTAAGGTTCAAACAAAAACAACATAAAACGAATGTGACGTCGTTTTGTGGCGTTGCCAGACTCGTGCAATTCGTAGTTGCTGCGGGCTGCCATACCACGATATTTTGTAATATGAAATTCGTCAATTTTGATATTCCGTTTAATATTACTAGCTAGCTGGGACTCTCAGCCCAAAAAAAATTGTTTTATCCAATTCCTTAATGAATTTTGTTTAGGATTGGCTAGTTTTCAGAACTATTTTTAATCGGATTGTTTAGGTAATAGGGTTCAAACAAAAACGGCCAAAGCATAAAACGTAAATGTTGACTAAATGTGACGTCAGTGTTGCTGGTCAACCAAGTTTATTCTTTGCGTATGTACTTTTGTATACCCTATTTCCTTTAATTGATGTTACATTTGTTGTTCCAAGCTCCATTGAAACATTATTTATGATTTTATACTAGATTGACATGTTTCTTACCTCTTAATGCATATGTTTGTGTTTTATATATACATTTATCCCGGTTCTGATACCTATTATTGGAACCCGTGAGCTGCCAAATTTCGTTAAACAGAGACTATGTAGTTTCTGCATTAATTGGTGCCTGAAATTACAAACAATATCTCAAGTCCATAATATCCATTTTCCCAAGGTATGCAGATTGTTGCTCATTCCGTGCCAAAGTTGCACAACAATGCTGCTAATTCATTTCCCCATGTTGCTACAGTCGGCTGTAGCTGAGAGAGAAAACTGAGAGAGAAAATATTTGAGGAAATAATTATTCTCTTCTTATTCTGCTTTGATTCTTTTTCGTACATTTTTGCAGGCTTTTTACCAACAACATTAGAAAGTAAAAAATCCTCTCTTTTTCTCTCTTTTTAGTATTTATAAAAATTTTAGTATTTTAGTTTTAGTATTTTATGCTAGTGTCCGACTTAACCCACTTAACACCCATCTATTTAAAAAGTTGAGCACCCTGTGTTAAACCGCAGAAAATAATACTGTTTGTAAAGGTTCCTTGTAGCTCCATCCGCCTCTTTACTTAAAAAACGAAAAAGACCACCGAAATCGTTCACCTGTAATGCGTAAAATATGTTAAAGTTACATAGATCTCGTGGAAATATAACTGGTCGACAATGGGATAATAATTAATATTACTAGCTAGTTAGCCCTCTCAGCCCTAAAAAAAATAGTTTTATCCATAGGGTTTAAACAAATACGAGTTAGTTTTATGAAAAAAAGTACTGGAAAATGCTGCAAAGCTAGGCATGCATTATATGTCGGAAAATACTAAATTTGGGGCATGTTAGTGTTGGGAATCGATTAAACAGTATTTTTGGCCTCTGCTTCGCGTTCTCCGCACATTCGTACCGTATTTTATTAAAAATTTAAAATAACATTCCCAGACTTGTTTTAAGTATTACAGAACTATGTTTATTGTGGCCGTAACTGGAGGCATTGCCACGGGCAAGAGTACCGTTAGCAAAGTGTTTGAACGGCACGGCATTCCCGTCATAGATGCAGATAAAATCGCCAGGGAGAGTGAGTAGACGAAATCTAAAGAATAGAATCTGTTGTTGAGCTGCTGTAATTGAGAGCAATTTCCGTTAATTATCGCATTTAATTTACGTAGTCGTGGAACCAGGTCAAGCTGGCTGGGAACAGATACGCGCTGCTTTTGGCGAGGACGTGCTGCTCCCCAGCAAGGAGATAAACCGTCCTGTCCTTGCACGCATGATTTTCGAGGACAAGGAATTGCGTGGAAAACTGAACCAGATTACGCATCCTAAAATACACCGTAAGATCTTCTGGCAGGCATTCAAACTGTTTGTCACAGGACATTCGTGGATTGTCCTGGACCTGCCGCTGCTCTTCGAAACTGGCATTCTAATGGATTTTATCTACAAAATTGTTTGTGTTTCCTGGTAAGCAATCTATCGATTCCATCATTCAATTTGAACGTATTCTCTAGATGTGATTATTTCAGTGATTCGGACAAACAACTCCAACGCCTGATTGCCCGCAATGAGCTATCCGAGGCAGACGCGAGCCATCGGATCAAGTCACAAATGCCGCTGGAGAAGAAATGCGAACAGTCGCATTTTGTTATTGACAATAACGGCAGCGTTGAGGAAACGGAAGAGTCGGCCATACGCATTGTGAGCATGATGAAGGAGTCCAAGCAGCACTGGCGCAATCGTGTCTACCTACTGGGTCTGGTTATGATCGTGGGCTTTACCATCTATATGTTGTTGAAGATATTTAGTCGCGTACCCGACGACATATAGCCATTGTAAGTGTGTTCCGTTCCTGGCCTCCATCCAGCGTGTGCCATTCAATGCTTTTTAGTGTGTTAGTGCAATTGAAACCAAATCTTGCTTCATAAGGGCAGCAAAATTATACAATTAGTGCGATATTTGATCGCCTTTTAGTGAAATATACAAGTCGGCAAAATTTGTATTTGTTTTGTTTTCTTGTTGCCACAAACGTTCGGATTGTCTCCTGCTGCAGACAAGCGAACGTTGCAAATATCCGATTTATTTACAATAAGAAAACTCTGATAAACATCAATTCGAACCTCAAAGCATGCATCAGAATGGGGGAGGATTCTGTTCTGTTTGTGTTTATGTGCGCTGTCGCCAGTTGGTCGATGGCTCACCCATCAGAGACGCCGTCTGCTGGCAATAATCTACAAACGACTGCAGTGCATATCGTGTTACCGCCTTCGTTACGTTATGATTCAACTGCATGGGATCCTGGACAACCATTGGCTTGCGCAATTGCAATGTACTTTCGGGATTCTCCCGAATGTATTGGCTATAACTACAATTTAAAATGAATAATTAGCACACAGAATACTGTTAATGCTGTAGATCTCTTACCGATTTGGCATTAACTTCTCAATATGTTGAATTTGGACATCGCGGCTACCAAAGTATGGGCACACCAGTAAGCGCTCGTAATCAAATGTGGAGTAGAAGGTAAAGAAGGCCCTCAAAAGGTTGCGAACTGCCGGCACATCGGTATCGGCTTCCGGAAGGCGCAGCTCTTGCAGAGTTTTCTGTCCAAAGTTGACAATCCAAGCTGAAATCGAACAAACACCATTAGATTCATGCTACACTGTATGCCGTGAAACTCCGACGACTTACGTCCAACGAACTGATTGTAAGGCTGTTCATGTTGCAAGGAAAAAATTGAGGGCAGAAAGCCGTGCAGCTGCATGAAATATATCACCATCAGTGTAATGCTGTAAGTGGAGATGTCCGTCAGCTTGCAGCGCTCCAGCCAGTTTTTCGCATAGATGCACATGTATTGAGCTGCCCCGCAAAAGATAAGAACAATCATTGATCAGAGGAATGGAACGTGACTTTGTGACTGTTTGTTTGTGCGCTTACCCAGCGGCTGTGTCTCGAATATGTACTTTAACAAGTTCGTGTTGCAGAAGCCCAGGCTATTCAGGCATATATCACACTCTATGCCGGTCAGCAGATGGGAGACCTTGATGATGGGAACGCGCGCCTGCTCGATAACCTGCTCAAGAAACCCACAATTTAGTATGAAAAGGAATGACGTATGTCTAAGGAATAAGTTACATTGATGATGCGCCACTTGTTGCTGGAACAAAAGACGGGACGCATGGCCCGCAGCTTGCCCAACGTGTCCTTGGAGGCGCGATGTTCAAATGTTTCGAATGTGTTGCCTGTCAATGCAATGCAACCGTCACATCAATCATCATTAGTCGGGATCAAGTGAGTGAAAGCACTTACCTATATCCACAAACACATCCAGATCGGAACAGCGTGTGCCAATGCCAGTTATGCGTGAACCGAACTTGTAAATGCGCATCTGGCTATTGGGAAACACTGGCGTCAGCACCTTTATTAGATCCGCCTCGATGACATCGTATTCGGGTATCACTTTCAGCTTGTCGGCCACACCATATCTATCCTTGAAGATTCTTGTGAGATCGGACGTAACCAAGGCTTTGGCTTCTGTAAAACAAAAGAGCACAGACGGTCAGATCAAAGCACACACAGACGCTCGCTACTTACTCTTGGGCAGAATGTCTATCAAACGACCGCGTGGTGCCACCTTGGTCGGTACCCTATCCTGCTTCGCCTGCTGTGCTGCAGCCGCTTCAGTATTCGGATGCTGTGCTGCAACCGCTGCATTATTCGGATGCTGGTGCTTTTCGGACAAATGCGTTACAACCTTGGAAATGTGTGTGCCAACCATTTGATTGGCGCATGCTATGCAGTTGAATGTGCGTTTGATTTTCTGCAAATCCTGCGGAGGCACAAAGACCACACCTTCACCGGCTCCGTTGGCGGGCATTATAAAAGTGGGCTTTCGGTCCAAATACTTTTCGATGCCCAACATAACGCGCTCCAGAATCGTGGCCAAATATTGATCCAATTCGAGTTCGTTGTTGCGGCTCACCTCCTCCAGGGTCTCCAGGAAGAAGTTGGCCTCCAGCGTGAGGGGATTTAACTGCAACGCAACGCATATGATATGCCAGTGCATATTATATTATAACTCGAGTTCAAAGTAAAAGCTCACTCCCACTCACGTATAGTGGATTTGGTGGATTCTGTCTTGCCGCCATCGCCTTGATTTTCTTTTTGCTCTTTCTCGTGCGGACGGCGGGAACCTGTACGGGACGGGTCAAAGTAAAAGATAATTTTATAAAGAATTATGTGCGTTCTCTGCCGCCGTGTTTACGACTGGCCCGGCTTGTTGATTTTGAGTGCGAGAATTTTTAAACTGCCAACTACCAGCTGATATGTGAGGGGCTGCCAACTAGGTGAAATTAAACCAGTACGTACACATACACAAACACATGCAAATCAATTTGAGAGTAATTATGAAGTTTTAGGCATTTTAATCAAGTGCAGGGCACCATGGTCGCTTATAGTGATGGGGAAAGCTGCATACCCGCTCTATTATCTGACTTTGACTCTCGTAGTATAACCTCTCGGCATTGCTGCAAACAGTCTTTTTCAACCAAAACGATTCCGATGCTTCGATTCTCATTGTCTCTCTAATATAACTTATTAGTTACTAACTAATAATTTAAAAACAAACTCTAGCTGTCACTAAATCTAAATGGCGTCGGACACGTAAATTTACACACACATAACACATACTAAATGCGTAGGCGGTAGTGTGCGTGGAGCCCCACTTTTGACAGCATATTCAAAACAAGTTGGCATACCATTCGCAAGGTATAACTTTTTAAGGTAGGGTTGTTTTTCTTCTTATTCCTGTTTGACGAGTTTTTTTTTGGCCTGTTCGCGTTTCGACTTCGAATTATTTTATGGTTATATTATGGTTATGTTATGTCATAGTTATGCTCTTTCTCTTCAATGCTAGTGCTCTTCAAGCAGTGCCAGAGCTCCCACAAGCCAGGTTGTATAAAGGAGGGTATTAATTTATTACGTAAATTCTGCAACCAGAATTGGTTTAAATTTTCGATCTCTCAAATCGTGCTTTTCTGCATCACTCGAAAACTTTCCTTAATGTGTTCACACTGGATTGCACATATAATATGTATTATCCTTGTATCTATTTTCAAACATTCTACTTTGGCGCTTGGAATCGGTTAAATTTTTTCTGAAACGTACACATTCCTCGCTAGTGGTCTCTGTCGAATTTTACATAATTATGTAGTTAATTTGTAGTAAATGTGTAGTTAGCGTTTAGTTAGTTTCCATCAGATTGATTTTTGTTTAATCCTTATTTATGAATAATTCTAATGAAAATGAGGACTTATGATTGGCAAATCTTTAAGGAAATTGATTAATGAATCGTAGAAAAATATATTTTCAGCGCTGAGAGTCTTAGCTTGCTAGTAAAATTACACCGAATATCAAAATCGAGGAATATCAATGCATTTTGTCGTGTCCGTCAGTATATTATACGGTATATTATTTAATCAATAATATACTTTTCAAAATGACCGCCAAACTCCATTTAGCGTACAAAAAAGACTGACATTTTTCGCTCTCAAATCGTGCTGGTGGTGTGAGCCACATGTATCTTACGGGAACCGTAGCAACATGGGGAAATGAATAGGCAACATTTTTCTGCAACTTTTGCACGAAATGAGCAATAATCTGCATACCTTGGGAAAATGGATATTATAGAATGGAGGTATTGTTTGTAATTTCAAGCTCCAATTAATGAAGCTACTACTCAGTCTCTGTTTTAAAGACATTAAAGAAGTTTTGCAGCTCACGGGTTCCAATAATAGGTATCAGAACCGTGATAAATGTTATTATAAAACACAAAAAATATTCATTACTAGGTAGAAAACATCCCAATCTAGGATGAAATCATTATTAATGTTTCAATGGAGCTTGGAACAAAACATTTAACATCAATTAAAAGAAATAAGGTATACAAAAGTACATACGCATAAAAGAAACTTGGTTGACCAGCAACACTGACGTCACATTTAGTCAACACTTACGTTTTATGCTTTGGCCGTTTTTGTTTGAACCTTATTATGTAAACAATCCAATGCAAAAGAGTTATGAAAACTAGCCAATCTTTTACAAAATTTATTGAAGAATTGGATAAAATTGTTTGTTTAGGGCTGAGAGTCAGCTAGCTGGTAATATTAAACAGAATATCAATATCAAGGAATATCAACGTCGAATGTATTGAAAAAACAATCGATACTATCGTGACAGTATCGGGCTAAAAAATTATTAATTTTTTTTTTTTTTGTTATTTACTGGTTACTGGTTCTCGGTTTCTGAGGTCACTCGACAAAACAAATCAAGTTATTTTTCCAAATATTAAGACACATTTCAAATTGACCGCCAAACTCAATTTAGCGCACCAAAAATACTGAAGTTTTTCGCTCTCAATTCGTGGAGAGTTTGCAAAACTCGCTCTCAATTCGTGGAGAGTGCTCTCTTTTCAGTGGAGAAAAGAGTGTTTTTATGGAGACTTTCCCCTCATTTTCGTGGTGTGGCAGCATGTTGCTGAAATTTTTCCCATACAAAATCAAATGTATCTTACGGGAACGCGTATGGAATAAAGATTCATTGTTGCGTCATTCCATACGCGTTCCCGTATGATACATTTGATTTGTATGGGAAAAATTTCAGCAACATGGGGAAATGAAGTAGCAGCATTGTTGTGCAACTTTGGCAAGGAATGAGCAACAATCTGCATACCTTGGGAAAATGGATATTATAGAATGGAGGTATTGTTTGTAATTTCAAGCTCCAATTAATGAAGCTACTACTCAATCTCTGTTTTAAAGACATTAAAGAAGTTTTGCAGCTCACGGGTTCCAATAATAGGTATCAGAACCGTGATAAATGTTATTATAAAACACAAAAAATATTCATTACTAGGTAGAAATCATCCCAATCTAGGATGAAATCATTATTAATGTTTCAATGGAGCTTGGAACAACAAAATTTAACATCAATTAGAGGAAATGCGGTATACAAATGTCCATACGCATGCAGAAACTTGGTTGACCAGCAACACTGACGTCACATTTAGTCAACACTTACGTTTTATGCTTTGGCCGTTTTTGTTTGAACCTTATTATGTAAACAATCCAATGCAAAAGAGTTATAAAAACTAGCCAATCTTTTACAAAATTTATTGAAGAATTGGATAAAATTGTTTGTTTAGGGCTGAGAGTCCCAGCTAGCTGGTAATATTAAACAGAATATCAATATCGAGGAATATCAACGTCGAATGTATTGAAAAAACAATCGATACTATCGTGATAGTATCGGGCTAAAAAAATTATAAATTTTTTTTTTTTTGTTATTTACTGGTTACTGGTTCTCGGTTTCTGAGGTCACTCGACAAAACAAATCAAGTTATTTTTCCAAATATTAAGACACATTTCAAATTGACCGCCAAACTCAATTTAGCGCACCAAAAATACTGACATTTTTCGCTCTCAATTCGTGGAGAGTTTGCAAAACTCGCTCTCAGTTCGTGGAGAGTTTGCAAAAATCGCTCTCAGTTCGTGGAGAGTTTGCAAAATTTGCTCTCTTTTCAGTGGAGAAAAGTGTGTTTTTGTGGAGACTTTCCCCTCATTTTCGTGGTGTGGCAGCATGTTGCTGAAATTTTTCCCATACAAAATCAAATGTATCTTACGGGAACGCGTATGGAATAAAGATTCATTGTTGCGTCATTCCATACGCGTTCCCGTATGATACATTTGATTTGTATGGGAAAAATTTCAGCAACATGGGGAAATGAAGTAGCAGCATTGTTGTGCAACTTTGGCAAGGAATGAGCAACAATCTGCATACCTTGGGAAAATGGATATTATGGACTTGAGATATTGTTTGTAATTTCAGGCTTCAGTGAATGCAGAAACTACTCACTCTCTTATTAAAAGACATCAACGGAATTTTGTAGCTCATGGGTACCAATAATAGGTATCAGAACCGGGATAAATGTATATATAAAACACAAAACATATGCATAGATAGGTAAAAAATAACTCAATCTTACGAAAATGCAATATTAATGTTTCAAAGCAGCCTGAAACAACAAATTAAACATCAATTAAAGGAAATAAGGTATACAAAAGTACATACGCATATAAGAAACTTGGTTGACCAGCAACATTGACGTCACATTTTGTCAACATTTACGTTTTATACTTTGGCCTATTTTGTTTGAACCCTATTACCTAAACAATCCGATTAAAAATAGTTCTGAAAACTAGCCAATCCTAAACAAAATTCAATGAGGAATTGGATAAAATTATTTGTTTTGGTTTAAGAGGGCTAATTAGCTGGTAATATTAAACCGAATATCAAAATTAAGGAATATCAACGCATCCGTCAGTATATTTTTGGTATATATTACTATTGACAAGGTATATTTCAGTATATTTTGGTATATTTTCGAGGGTCAGGCGGTATATTTTCCAGATAAGTCGCCAGTCACACTGAAATAAAAATTTTAAAAATTTATATAAAGCAGGCGCAGCGTTTTCCCAGCTTAAGTTTATGTTTGTGAAGCCTCATAACCGGTAGTTCGAACGTAAACGCTCTCCAAGTCAGTCCTACTAAATCACAAGTTTTGTGAAATTTCCTTTTTGTGTGTGAAAGTAAACTAGAAAAAACTCGATATGGTAAGTAATATACACTAATTGTAGTTGGTACATAGGGAATAAACGAGAATTCAGACTAAATTAAAGACAGGCGTCGCCTGGGTTTTCGCAAAATGGCGACTGCACGCATTTTCGGTGAAACAAGAAAAAAAGATATGATGACGTCATGCACGAAACTAGTAGAAAGTTCTAGAAACGTGCTAAAATTTGGGAAAAGTAGGAAAAAGTGTGCAGTAGAATTGTTCTAACGCGAAAACCGGCAAATCGTATAGATATTTAGTGAACGCATTCGGAATAAAAATGAGGCGTCGGCAAAAAAAAAATCTTTCTTTTTCTGGTATACCATGTTGCCGTCTCGCTTGCACAGACATACATACAGACGTGTCGAGATACAGGGGCGCATCATCTTGGGCGCGGCTCTGCGGACTATTGATTTTTTGGTCGGGCGTGTAATTAATCATCATTTCCTTTTTCTTTTCTCCTCCGCCCACAGCGTGAATGTATCTCTATCCATGTTGGCCAGGCTGGTGTCCAGATCGGTAATGCCTGCTGGGAGCTGTACTGCTTGGAGCACGGTATCCAGCCCGATGGTCAGATGCCCTCTGACAAGACCGTGGGCGGTGGTGATGACTCGTTCAACACCTTCTTCAGCGAGACTGGCGCCGGCAAGCATGTGCCCCGTGCCGTCTTCGTCGATCTGGAGCCGACTGTGGTGGATGAGGTCCGTACTGGTACCTACCGCCAGCTGTTCCATCCCGAGCAGTTGATCACCGGCAAGGAAGATGCCGCCAACAACTACGCCCGTGGTCACTACACCATTGGTAAGGAGATCGTCGACCTGGTGCTGGACCGCATCCGCAAGTTGGCCGATCAGTGCACTGGTCTCCAGGGCTTCCTGATCTTCCACTCCTTCGGTGGTGGTACTGGCTCTGGATTCACCTCCCTGCTGATGGAGCGTCTCTCCGTGGACTACGGCAAGAAGTCCAAGCTGGAGTTCGCCATCTACCCAGCTCCCCAGGTCTCCACCGCTGTGGTTGAGCCCTACAACTCCATTCTGACCACCCACACCACCTTGGAGCACTCTGACTGCGCCTTCATGGTCGACAACGAGGCCATCTACGACATCTGTCGCCGCAACTTGGACATTGAGCGCCCCACATACACCAATCTGAATCGTCTGATAGGTCAGATCGTCTCCTCGATCACCGCCTCTCTGCGTTTCGATGGTGCCCTCAATGTGGATCTGACTGAATTCCAGACCAACTTGGTCCCCTACCCACGTATCCATTTCCCTCTGGTCACCTACGCTCCAGTCATCTCCGCCGAGAAGGCCTACCACGAGCAGCTGTCCGTTGCTGAGATCACCAACGCCTGCTTCGAGCCAGCCAACCAGATGGTCAAGTGCGATCCCCGTCACGGCAAGTACATGGCTTGCTGCATGCTGTACCGTGGTGATGTTGTCCCCAAGGACGTGAACGCCGCCATTGCTACCATCAAGACCAAGCGTACCATCCAGTTCGTGGACTGGTGCCCCACTGGCTTCAAGGTCGGTATCAACTACCAGCCACCCACTGTTGTGCCCGGCGGCGATCTGGCCAAGGTGCAGCGCGCCGTGTGCATGTTGTCCAACACCACGGCTATTGCCGAGGCCTGGGCTCGTCTGGATCACAAGTTCGATCTGATGTACGCCAAGCGTGCCTTCGTCCACTGGTACGTCGGTGAGGGTATGGAGGAGGGAGAGTTCTCCGAGGCCCGTGAGGATTTGGCTGCTCTGGAGAAGGACTACGAGGAGGTCGGCATGGACTCTGGCGATGGTGAGGGCGAGGGTGCCGAAGAGTACTAAACGCGTCACACATACGCACAGCCGTGGGCGTCGCTGGTGGATGGGGGCCCAGCCTTCGTCGAAACCAGTGTCTACGCCCAAAAAAGAAGAAGATGAAGATGAAACTCCACTGCAACACAAGAAAAGAACCGCTAACACGAGAACAACAACAAGAAAGTATAACCCAAGAGTATTTTATTAAAACACAAAGACACAGCGCAGATACAAAAAAAAAAACTAAAACGGCGATAAATTGTGTACAAGAATAAAATCGGCTGAAAGCAGTTTGGACAGCAAAAGAAAATCTCTCTATTCGTTGTTTTTCTTTCCCCATCTTTTTCTTTTCAAACTTTTCCAGCACAAGAGAGTTCACTGAACGGAGGAGCTATAATTACGGGAAAGCGGACCAGCCGCAGCTCTCTGTATCTAATAATAGTGGCGCTTTCTAATTTGCTCCATTTCATGCTGCATGTGGCAAGTGCAGACTGTACCAGCCCAGGGTGCTGCATGCACTTCTTGCTGCAGCCGAATGCCTAGGGGGAGAGTGGTGCATACATATACATATCGATTCTTTAGTCGCCTGATGAGTCATTTGAGTGGGCCGCATGGAGTTTAGGCCGTGGCAGCATAATAATGGTCGTCGCCATAACGACGGCCAATAACAACGCCAACTCGGCAAAAACATGCGATGACATCATTCCCTAACTGATATACAGACGTACATACATACTGGCATGACACGCAAATGTACGTGTATGTGTGTGTGTGCCATTTATGGGGGTTGCTTTTCCAAAAACGAAATTGAAGCCTAGGTAAACCGGCTTGTTGTTGTAAAGGCCGCCCAACCTCCAACCTCTGCCTGCGCTGCGGCATTTTCGAGAAGCAGACCGGCAGCTGCTGCAGATGTTATTGAATTTCCAGAAATACACAAGAAATGGGCAGGAAATGCAAGAAAAGGGCCCACCAGGCCATTCACATGCATACATACATACACAATACACACATGTTGAAGTGCCGGCAGAGACCGGCGACCTCGATTGAGGTTATGTTTGATGCCATTTACTGCAGATGTCGAGTGAAAAGCGATTTCCTCGAAAAGAAAAGCAAACTCTGCCCAGGACTTAAGCCTGTCGTAAAATTTACTGAAAACTCAAGGTTTTAAGCCGAATTTTAAATGTTATTACCATCAAAAGAAGCTGTTTCAGCAGAAGTCGGGTAGCAGCTGGCTTTGCGGAGCCAGAGCTTCATACGTATATACATATGTACATACATATGTACATTGCGATGTCAGACCATATATGTACACTTGAGGGGCCAAGCCAACGCATTCAATGATGACGACAAGCCCCAATATCCGAGATGTTTATGGCGACTGTTTCGTCGTGTGTTGTGGGCGGTAAAATTTGTGTGAGCAAGTTGGAGCTCTCGCACAGGAAGGCCCCACACCCACCTTTAAGCGCTTGAATGAGTTTTGTTTTGTCATCAAGAAATGTTTAATCAATAAAGAAAATGGATCATAAAATAGGCTCAGCATATGTAAATATGTATGTATACGTTTACCTAGATAAATATGTACGACAGGGTGCGACAGGGTGAGTTAAGGGGTATATTGTATTTGCGGTAAAAGTGGATGTGTACAACGCAGAGAAGGACTCCATAAAGTATACATATATATTCTTGATCAGAATTAATGGCCTAGTCGATATAGCCATGTCTGTCTGTCTGTCTCGATGAGCGCCTAGATCTCAGAGACTATAAGAGATGGGGCAACCAAACTTGGTTTCCAGACTCATGTGATATCACAATGCTACAAGTGTATTTCAAAATTTCGCCCAGCTCCCTTCCGCCCCCACAAAGGACGAAAATCTGTGGAAGGACAATGTTGAAGATACGATAAAACTAGAGTATCGTAGAGAATGACAATATCTACCAGATTGCCGTACCTGAATCAGATCGGACCATAATTATAGCCAGAATGAAGAAATTAATTTTCAGTTGCAAGAGACTCGCTACTCATTATACCCGTACTCAAAAAAGAGTTAAGGGGTATATTAGATTTGTGGTAAAAGTGGATGTGTGTAACGCAGAGAAGGAAACGTTTCCGACCCCATAAAGTATATATATTCTTGATCAGCATCAATAGCCGAGTCGATATAGCCATGTCTGTCTGTCCGTCCGTCCGTCCGTCCGTCCGTCCGTCTGTCCGTCTTGTTGAGCGCCTAGATCTCAGAGACTATAAGAGCTAGGGCAACCAAATTTGGTTTCCAGACTCATGTGATATCACACTGCTACAAGTGTATTTCAAAATTTCGCCCCGCCTCCTTCCGCCCCCACAAAGGACGAAAATCTGTGGCAGGCACAATTTTAAAGAAACGATAAAACTAAAAACGCAGTATCGTAGAGAATGCCCATATCTACCAGATTGCCAAATCTGAATCAGATCGGATTATAAATATAGCCAGAATGAAGAAATTAATTTTCAGTTGCTTCCCCTCCCCCTCCCGCCGAGACAACACAACTCATTTTCCTTCTCGCTCGCACACTCTGCCGCGTTCAGTGCGCGAGCAACCCCTAGCGGAGGAGATGTAGAATATGAATGGAACATGTACAATCTACATGTTAGATGTATAATAGACATTTTATATGTAGATGTAGATAGCATATGTAGCAAAAAAATGTAAAATGTAAAATGTTTTTTTTTTTTTTCTAAAATTCTAAAAAATCATAAGCTCAAAAGTGTATGTATATACTGACTGAGTACGGGTATAAGTAGAGTCGTGTCCCCAGAAACGACTCACACGTTCCTTCTCGTTATTTTTTTTTTCGCTCGCACAGGTTATAAGTAGAGTCGCGTCCCCAGAAGCGACTCACACGTTACTTCTCGTTTTGCCTGCTGTTTACGCACACAATCGCACTGCTAAACATGTGTGTTGTGTTGCGTGCCGACTATTGACAAGAGCGAGACAACAATATGCTCAAAAAGTGCTGCTAAGCGCAAAGAAATTATCAATGCCTGTTAACATCAACATTGCCATGAGAATAATTTTTAAATAAACAAAAAAAATATTTGAACAAACTCGAATCATGCCGCACAGCAAGGAAATTGGCACGGATGCCCAGCCAAAGAATGATGTTAAACTCACAAATTACGAAAGTGTCGCGTAAGATTGGTTAATACTTGAATTGTAGATTGTATTCATTTAAACAAAACCACCATAGCCTGAAGGACCTCTTGCAGACACGTCTTAATGAATGCGGCTGGCGTAAACAAATTGAGCAATTTATTCGTGAAACAATCGCTGAGCGCGGCAATCAGACCATTACAGCCGAGGAACTGGCAGCCGAGATTGTGCCGCAAGTAAGTGATAACCAAACAGGATTATATTCTATATTAATTCTTGTGTAATTCTGTTGGACAGGCTCGCGCCATGGTACCCGAGGACGTGCGCAAAGAGATGATGATACGCGTGCGCGAAGCCCTGGAGTCGTCGTTGCCACGAAAGCAAAGTCCCTCCCCCCCACTCCAATAGTGAAATATAGAAGACTCGAATAATCTTAAATTGTAGCACATGTGTGTATTCTTCGTTTATTATCTCGTGTTTAAGTAGATATTTACATGCTTAAAAGCTAATTATGAAATTGCGCCACTAGTTGTACAGTATGTATGTAATAATAATAAATAAACAGCCTAATTGTAATGCATTAGAATACGTTGTTTGCTATATATGTTCATGTTGTGTTTATCGGTACGATTGGCTAAAACAAAATTTGTGTGCTTTCTTTTCAGGGGTTGTGGGGTGTGGTGGCAGTGGGTTAAATTAGGAACGCGGTTTGGGCTCTTTCTTTCGTTGAATTGTTCTACAAAAAATAATAGGGCTACATTTTAAGTAATCTATAATTTCATAATTTTCTCCATTATTTACTCCTCGTTTCGTCGTTTTACTTATTCAATAGCGAGTCAATTGAAAAGTCTTTGAATTTGGCGTTGGAATCATCGTTAAATAGACCCGGTTGCTGCTGTTGCAGTTTTTCCCTTGTTTGTTGTTCCTGTTGTTCCTCATCCTGAACAACTATTGTCGTTGTGCTGCTGGTGGATGTTGTTGTTGGTATTCCGTTGTCCATTGTTGATGTTGTTGTTGATGGCAGCATTTTCATTAGTTTATTCCGTGGCTTGCGCAGAAATTTTGTGTTTATTTGAAATTTTTGTGGCTTGTGATTCGATTGGACTTGTAAAAGTGGTGGTGTGGTGGTTGCTGTTGCTATTGCTATTGCTGTATTGGTTGTGTTTGTTGTGGGTACTATTTGTATTGTATTGCGATAATTCTGACGCCAGCTACGCAGCTCTGTGCTTGGGGATTTGACAACATTCAGGTTGCCTGGTGGAGCTTGGCCCACAGCTACTGTGGTTGCTGTGGTTGCTGCTGGTGTTACTGTTATGGTGGCTGCTGATAAGGCATTGGGTCCAAAGCATTTTAGAAAATTCTGTACATGTAACAAGCTCTCATTCTCATCCTTATGCTTGGGCCTTCGTTGTTTGTCCTCGTTCTCATCCTCTGCTTCATAGTCCACCGAAGATTCCTGCTGTGGCGACGAAGAGGAAAACGTGTAAGAGCTGCTGCTATCGCTGCTGAGCTGTAATTTGGACTCCAGTTTAGTTCTTTTTATAGGGTATTGATTGAGATGGTTATTACTCACATCATCATCATTTGTATCGCGCAGTTGCTGAAAGCTTAGTGGATCCGCTGGCTTCGGCTTGCTGTAGTAGGGCGTAGGCTTGCTGCTGCTGTTGCTATTGCGGCCTCCGCGTCTGGCCAGGATTGGTTTCTTTTTCGGCTGTGGCTTCTGCTTCTGCTGCATTTGCTCACGGTATGACTTTCAGCTGGTTTTGGCGAGGTTATCGTCGCGCCTTAGCTGGGACTGCAAAACATAGGGATACACATTTATGAGTTGGATTCCAAGTGGGTGTTCTACATATCGTATGGGGATACAATCTATTTGTATACAATATAAAATGATCAAAGTCTTCTCTTTCATCCTGGCACACAAAAAACCAGATCGAATTTTGGGTTTATCTGCCGTGAAATGAGATATTTATAATGCAAAAGAGATGTGGCTAAGCGGATGGGTACGATTTGTGTGTGTGCGTGTGTGTGTTTAGAAATTTCTTTGGGGCAATGACTGATTGATTGATTGAATGGCTGTTTGTCTGATTCGTAATGAATGCAATAGATGTGATTGGGGGGGCACATATGAATCATGAGCATAAAATCAAAATGAATGAAAATTGCACAAAGCCTCGTGGGGGGATGGATGGCATGGTTTACAGACACACACAGAGAGTTACAGACACACACACATACAGGCGCGCAAGCACACAACTACCTGATGATGCGTGCTGTAGAGATGCGCCGCATAGGAGGAGGTGGAGGTGGTGGTGGTGCTACTTAAATCGCCCAGGCCCAGGCCAAGGTTAACGCCAAGGCCAATGCCGCCAACGCCAACTCCGCCAACGCGGAGTGGCATGCCCACTGTTGTTGTAAATGTAGTTGTTGTTGTTGTTGCTGTTGATGTTGCACCAGCTAGAGCTGTCGCTGACCCACCTCGTCCAATATTGCCGCCACCAACCGCCGCCGCCACTCCACCAGCACCGCCCATGCCCATGCCCACGCCCACACCCACACCGAGCATATGGGCGGCGGCAACAGCGGCGCTGGCATGATGCGACGACGACGACTGTTGCTGCTGTTGCTGCAAATGCTGCTGTACGACTTGCTGTTGCGACGGATGTGAATGGTGCTGCTGCTGTTGCTGCTGCTGCTGGTTCTGGGAGGGATGCTGATGCAGGCTGTTGCTTACGCTGCCACTGTTGCTGCTGCTGTTGTATGCCGCATGGGCCGCAGAGACATGCCTATGGGGAATAGAGATTACGAATTAGAGATATGTTTTGTCATCCCCAGAGGTGTGGGGAGTGGCCACTCACCTTAATCCCAGGCTGGCTGCATTGCTCATTGTCATACCGCTCAGAGACATGGGGGTGGTTGTGCCCGAGCTGACATTCGAGGATGATGTTGCTCCTGCCACGCCAGGATTATTGCTCATATTGCCATTGTTGTTGCTGTTGCTGTTGCTACCGCCCGTTCCCGTGCCCGTGCTCCGATAGTCCAGCACACCGCTAGAGCTGGCCGGCGCCACAGTGGTGCGACTGTTGACCATTGTGGGCGTGGTCGTATTGATGGCTGTGGTCGCCAGGGAGACGGCTGCCGCTATTGTTGTTGCCGCATTGAGAACACTCATGTTGGAAGCTGCTAATGTGGAAAGGACAGAAGTTGTACAAGTTGTTGATGATGTTGTTGTTGCTGTGGTTGTTGAAGTTGAAGTAGAAGTAGAAGAAGTTGTGGTTGCAGCTGTAAAGCATTTTTTGTTGGTTAGATTGTGAGTATTTGTATCCCCCCCACCCTCACATTGGTTGTAGTTTTCTTTACCCAAAAATGTATTAGTTTGTGTGTGTGTGTTTATGCGTGTGAGTGTGTTGGTGGTGGTGTGGCATGCAACACAACAAGTTTATGAGCTAACTAAAATCGGGAAAAGAGAGAGAGCGTAGAATCGTTTCTGTGCACATCACCAGTGTTGGAAAACGTAAATGATGTAAAATTTTTCAAAACTTAGTGAAACGAATTTAGAATTTGTTCGTTTTTAAACAATTTATTCATTTTTCAAATAAATAAAATCGAAAATGATTAGTTTTTAAGTAAAGATACATAAACTTGTAAATATATTAGTGTGTTTTATATGGTATAATTAAGGTATTTATCGTGTAATATTTGATTAACTTAAGAGTGTTGTGTCATGGCAAAGAAAAATGCATTTAAATGAGGAAATTATCTGATCATCTGACTATGTTATGCAGTGTACTGTAGGTGTAGGTGTAGGGTGTGTAAGTTGTATATTATATACATTTTATCTGAAGTTTGACTGTTAACTTAGGATCAACTTAGGAGTAACTTGAATAACTTAAGACTATCCATATCATATCGATTGATTCAGGTGCAATTTGTATGTACAACGGATACGAACAACAGACAAACAAATTATAAACAAAAATTCAAATAATAAACTTATAAATTTGGTCTGTTTTCAGTGGCTGTGTGTGTGTGTTTGAATGTTTGTGGGATGGATGGATGGCCTGGCATGACAATCCTCCTCTAGTGCCAAGTGCCATGTTGTGTCATGTGTGTGTGTATGTGCCGACACCAAGTACAAGAGAGATCGGACATGGTATTGTTATGCCTTCTCTACTTACCATGCGCCTCAGCCTTGTTGGCGATCGGATTCAGTGGGATCTGTAGGCGGGCATTCACCGCCAGCAAATGATCACGTCGCGCTATCAGGCTGGTCACATGCTCCTCCAAACGCAGATTCTCACTCTGCAGCTGATGCAAGCAATTCAACAGGGATGCAACTGCATTGAGGAGGAGATTAAAGATTTTTACAGATTAGAAATTCGCTACAGGACCTCCTCAATGCGACTCATACTCACTGTCAAAATGCTGCGCCTGCTCCATGAGAAACTGTGAGCCCTGTTCCCATTGGCGCTCCAGCAGCTGCTCTAAGCTTTGGGGTATCGACATGTTGCTATTCATTCCGGCACCGCTAAACATTGATTGCAGTGGATTCGCTATGGGTGCGGCATTCATGGAAGCGGCACTGGTATTATTTCGCTGTGAATATGAGAGAGAAATATATAATATCTTCTTATGCGGAACTTCTGCTCCTGCTTACCTGTTTCCCAGGGAATGGCACTCCCGCGAATTGCGAACTCATCGAGTCACTCGTGTAGACGGCATGATCCTGCACTTCCATGTGCAGCTGCTCCGATAGCTTCTGGGCCACACTGCTATTGGGATTCACATGATTGCCCAGCATATGGGTGGCCGTGTGCGCAATGATCGAACTCGCCGACGCCCCAGACGATGCAGGCGTTGCCGGCGGCGTGGGTGTACTTATCGGACCACTGCTGGCAGCTCCATTTTGCAGGATGCGCACATCCTTGAGATCTGGCTGCTGCTGTACGTTTGTGGCAGCTGCTGCTACTGCTTGTGCTGCCGCTGCTGCTGCTGCTGCCGCTATCGTCGATTCCTTGGCCTTGCGTCCACGCTTGCGTACATTTCCTGGCTGGGGAGCGGGTACAGCCACAGCTGTGGCACTTAATGCTGCTGCCGTATGCAACTGCGTTGTGCCACCAATCTCTGATCCGGGCGAACTGGGTGGCGAGTCCTTGATGGAGCTTACCGGTAGCATGGCCACATCCAGGTGCTGCTGCGTCTGACTCTCGTAGGTGAACTTGAGGCCACCTCCAAGGGGCATCATCGATTGGTTCGACGCTTGATTCGTTAGCGTTGTTGTGCTTGGCAGTGATGACGATGTCGTTGCGGCCGATGTTGTTGCAAGATCCGGAGTTCTGTTCGATTTCGTGATCGTTGTTGTTGTTGGCGCGGATGTGGAAGAAGGATTGGTAGGAATCGAATTAGTGAATTGTAATATTTCTAGATCTTCATGTTGATTCTGTGCCTGCTGCTGCTGCTGTTGTTGCTGTGGCTGTTGCAAGTGCATAAAGTTTGCCTGAATTGGAGCTGTGGCTGTGGCTGAGCTTGAGGTGGAGGATGAGGCTGAGGTTAGATTTGTGGGGGATGTGGTTCTAGCGGGTATTAATGGTGCATATGTCTGTGGTTGTTGCTGCTGCTGCTGCTGTTGCTGTTGTTGCTGCTGCTGTTGGAACAATTGCGTTTGCTGTGCACGCAGCATTTTCTTATTCAAAGGCTTGGTTGTGCCACTGCTGCTGCTTCCGGCAAAGTTCCCGTTCCCTTCAGGAGTTGTTCCCTTGGCAGTGATCGTGCTGCCCCCTCTGTAACCCACTGTCGATGGCCCTGTCGACATATTGACGGGGGAATCCAGAAGATTCACCACTGGGACCACACCCCCACTCGAGGACATGGACGAGGACGATGTGGAGGATGAGGAGCAAGAGGATGAGGTCTGATCCCCATTATGATTGCTATGCAGTAGAATGCTGTTGCTACTGTTGCGTGTGCTGCGACTGTTTGGAGGGGTGGGTGTTGTGGTTGTGGCTACGCCTCCTGCCACTGCGGGTGGCGAATCAATCGACGATTGCGATGAGGACAGTGACAGCACCACAGGCGATGCAATGCCTCCAGGCAGACCAGCACTTGGCGATTGATGTGGCGAACTATGACGACTCTGTTTCTCCGCTACGATTGCGCCTGCAGCTGCTGCAACATTGCCTGCCGCTGCTGCTGCTCCCGTGGCATTGGTTTCGTTTTTATTGAGTGCCGCTCCACGCTTTTTACCCGAACGTCCACCCGATGGGGCTTTGGTGTTCGTTGCGTTTGTGGCAGAGCTACTGACGGGTGTATTGGGGGTGGTCAAAGAGGTGCTGCCTGCGCTTGCGGCAGAGTGCAACGATTGTAGCGATGTCAGCTGCTGCGGTTGCAATTGCTGCTGCAGCCCCTGTGCTGAATGATGTGGGGGGACAATATTGCTGCTGTGGTGGTGGTTCTGCGAGTGATGATGATGATGGTGATGATGACTACTGGTGCCACTGCTCTCACCAGAGCGCGATCTACTTGTGTGGTGTGGATGTGGGTGTGTTGCGGGGATTCAATATTGTGGTGTGATTTTGTGTTATTGGAAGACATTAAGCAAATCGAGATAACAAGAGAGATAGAGAGTGGAAGAGAAGAGAGAGTAATTTTGTTTATAGATCGCAGCTTTATGTTTTTGTTGAAATGAAACACAAAAAGCTGCTGCTGCTGCTTCTGCCCGTTGGAACCAAAAAAAAAAAAAACGAATGAACCACACATGCCCCGCTCAGCCTTCCGCCTCCTCCTCCGGTGGTGCAGTGATGGGTGCAAAATGATTGATTACAAATTAAACACAACCTTCTAAAATATCTGGACACAAAAGGCACATAAGAGCAACAGAAACAGGAAAAAAAAAAACACAACACACCTTACAGGTAACCAAAGAACAATCAAGGTATGGAAGACATCTCTAACGTTTAAGAGTGATTTGTAAACTAAAAGGCAGCTTGCACAGGCAACAAAACATGAAGACACTTGTCGTATATCCCTCCTTCTCGCAATACTCTGCATACCTGCTTCTGCGCGACGTCGCTGGCGGTGCCTCCTGCTCTTGCAGCTGTTGCACACGCGTTGTCTGCTTCTCGTAGCTGATCTTCAGGTTCCCACTCTCTGTGGTGGTGGCCGTCAGATTTCCAGTGGACAGGGCGCCGCTGCTGCTGCTGCTGCTGCTACTGCCCGTGCTGGCGGAGATAATGCTGCCACCGCTATTACCGCTGACTAGGGAGCCGCTGCCGCCCAGAGCCGGTGACGATTTCCCGCTCTGATGCTGAATGACCGTTGAGGCGCCACTTGTTGCTGTTGCATACGCTCCTCCTGCAGCTCCTGCCGCACTCAGTGCTGACAGATTAGCTGCAGTCTGCTGTTGGGTGCTGCGTGAAGTTGCCACCGCATGGGGATCTGTGGAGAAAGGATCGTTATTTCTGTCTTTAATCTACGGATTAAAATAAAAAACTTACCACCGCTGGGATTCGTGGTGGTGGTGCTGCTGCTGTTGCTCGATGGCAGATTGATTCCAGGTACATTGGCCGTCGACAGCGGCACAGAGACATAAAGGCTGGGGGCATTGCTGTTGCTGCTGCCACTCCCACTCGCAGGTGGAGGCGGATTGCTATTGCTGCTCTCCTTAATACCACCACTGCTACTGCTGCTGCTGCTGCCGTGTTTGCTGCTGCTTCCGCTGGTATTGGCTTTACTCGAATCTGTCTTTGGATAGCCACTGGCACCCACTCCTGCTGCTCCTCCGCCCACAGCTGGTGATGTAGCCAATCCTCCTGCTGTGCTGCTGCTTGTGGCATTGCTGCCCAAAGTGCTGCTGCTGCTCGTTGTGGTTCCACTCGCTATTGATGTCACTGCTGCCGTTGCACTCGCTGTGGCAGCTATTGTGGCGGTTGTGGCGGGTGCCAATGTGGCATTCACTTCAGCTGTGGCGGATGTTTGATGGGTCGGCGGACTAAGTTCCGTTCGTTGCTGCAAAGAGGGGGTGCAAAGAGTTTTTGTTTGTTAGTTTTTTGTGATTCATTTACAAGTAAATCCACTGCTGATAAAACTCTCGACTGATAAGCGGACGATCATAAAAAACGATCATCAAGTGGCTCATATTTCATGTTACAACAGAAAAAAAAAGGGTTTGCATGACATTGTCAAGGGGTTTGGATGAGGTATTCCTCATTTTGGGGCAGGAAATGAATATTTTTACAAGAACTTTTCCCCCTAGAAGTGTATTCCCCGCTTCGGTGTGAATCCAATGCTCCACGTTTCTCTTTTAGATTTGCGTTTTGGCTTTGCGGTCATTAGCAACATCCGGTGGCTGTCGTTGGATATGTGTTGCTGTATTTCTGGTAAATGGTTGATGTTTTTTGATGGTGAGGCGTGTAAACACATGTTTACAACCGAAAGAATAAGCAAATACAACGCACAAATACAAAGCAGAGAGCAAGGGGGAGCAGCAGCACCACTAACAGTGGGCCACTTCGAACAGCAGGGCTGTTCATACCCTAAAAGAGAGCTTCTAGAGGGTATTATGGAGAAACAGCAGTGGTAGTACAAATTACAGCACTGGGCAGAGGAGTAGAAACAGATGTAGGGAGAGCAGGGCAGAGCGGAAGAGACCGCGATGGCAGGGGGTAGGGGGGTTTGACGCCGCCGCATGTGTTCCAAATAGATTAAAAGCTGCCAAAGGGACGGACAGACACATTAATGCAACTCAAAAAGCTCTTATCGCTGATGTTGCCTGCTGTTGCTGTTGTTCTGAAATACAATGAAAAAACGACATGCAACATGAGTCACAGAAGAGTCAAAAAGAATGCAAGGCAACTGCAGCAGCAACAGCAGCAGGCAGTGCTGCATGCAGCTGCAGTAACAGCAAAGAGAGAGAGAGAGAGCAAAACACCCACCCGCTCTCCACACTTCACAACTCACAGTCTGGTATGGGAACAGTTTCTCACTGCCATGGGAACAGTCTAAGAGCGAGAGAGAGAGCGAGAGGGAGTGTTGCTGCTGTTGTTGCACGCTGTATGTACCCCCATTTACAATACAATGTAATTTTCGGTCACGTAGGCCAACAACAAAAAAAAACTATGAATGGCGTTGCCACCTGATGACATTTGTTCCAATAGGAATTGCTCCCTAGCCCTAGAGCCTGTTGCTGAAGGGAAGAGAGAGAGGGAGAGAGAGCACGGAGGAATGACACACGAATGACATTTTATAAAGTGTCAAATTTCCAAGCAAAAGAAACACCTTCATGCCTCATTAGATTTGGGTCAAGAGATACAAGGAACAAATACATTCTACATGCAACATGCTTCTCTGGGTGTGTGTGGTCAAGTCCTTACTTTTTGAGGGCACCTTTAAGGAAAGGGGGTCCCTAAATACCCTACATAGAACATGTATTGATTGCAACTATAATAGTAATATGATATAAGAAGAATTCAGCAAATGTTTTTAGAGGCTTTAATCCATAAAGCTTGAATAAAACCCACTTCTCATCTGTGTCAATATAAAATAGTAATTCCAAACACGGCTCTTGCGATTACCATACTTTCACTAGCCAAAATAATTCTCTTTATCCGCCCTATATCTGGAAATCTGGAAATATGAGAGACTAGGTTGGCATTTAAAAAGAGATTAACAAGTGGACGACAGACGGTCAATGCTAATCAGCAAAAAATTATATCTTTATAGATGTGTCCGCCCAGTGGGTCTCCCTCCTCTTCTGCATCTGGTCAAACATCTGTTGAGAATTATTAATACCCTCTGCTGCTGCTGTTCGGGGTGTGATAAAAAGTTTCGTCTACTACCATTTCATGGCCAAGTTTCTGGAAGATTTTTGCAGTTTCCCGCTTCGTTCTCTCTCACGTATCGTATCCCACACTCTCTCTTTGGCTGCTTCGGGGGCAGCTGTCGGACAAACAATGGCGGAAGGTTTCAGGCGCGCGCGTTTTGATTATCCTGTTGCTGAAGCTAATGGCCCACAACCCCCAGGCCCAGACGAGGAGCGCAACGCGATACCGGCAAGCGAAATCAACCCCTTTTCTTTTTTGGTTTGTTGGGAATTCGCTTCCGCGACACATTTCAATTTTATTTCCAACAAAATTCAATAAGAAGAATTGTCGAGCGTAGCCGGAAATAAAATACCAACTATAAATATTATATTAGCGTGTGTCTGGGATATTTCCCCATCCACACACATCCCCTCTCTATAGAGCTGGTACTTCCCTTTCACAACAATGCTGTGGGTTAATGGTCGCATAAAAGGGTTGTCCTTGTCCCCTTTTTTGGCGGTACTGAAGAAATCATGAGCGACGATTCTTACAACAAATAAACGATAGAACGATAGAATTATTCAAATTGAATTGAGAATTCATTCAATTTGTTGGGGTGCAACTTGTTGGGGGAACGCGATATATCAAAAGAAATCCCAGAGATTCCAAGGAATTAACAAAGGAATGTCTAACAAGTTTGGGAAGTGCTCGTAAAAGATGAGAGTAACTTTTGGGATAATCATCAAACATCAAAGGGCAGTAATTTATTTAGGATTTCCTCATAAAATAGTGGATTTTTGGGGCTGCAAGAAGTCCAAGGAATCCATAGAATATCTCTGTTACAACAAGTGTTTTTTCAAGGTCTTCCACAAACAAAGCCTCTAGAAAACATCTTTAATCTTTATAATCCCAAACAGAGGAAAGAAACCGTCCAAAGTTTATACAGAGATATCTTCTTTAGCTCTAATCCTCTAGTTTCCTTGGAAATGCAAAAAGGTAAACGAAACAATGAATGCCAATTAAATTAACAATTAGAGCAAGAGTTGAGAAAGAGACGACTCGACTCGACTCGTCTTGGGCCTGTCCTGACAGACAGAGTTCGAAGACATTGTCCTCAGGTAGGACGTGAAAACAGCAGCTGTAACCAGATCGAATGGAAGGAAAGGATCAATCAGCCGCCCAGGAAGCAACAGCAAGTACAAAAAACTAAGGGTAGCTGTAGCTGCAGCTCTAGAGCCAAGGGGAAGAAAGAGCGAGGTTGAGCCATGAGGCAAGAGAGGCACAAGATAAAGAAGCATCTTGTGGCAGCTGTCGTAAACTAGGCGCAAATGTGCCAACAATACAGATACAAAGGGCTATCCGATCCAAGGATATTGCCAGTGAAAAACCGGCCTTGGGCTCTCAGGGAATAAATATGTTTCCTTGCACTACCTTCAAAGGACAAGAGGCTACGTGATACGTGGCACAACAGCTGTCTGTGTCTTCCCCCATTTGGTAGGCACTTACACTAATCAATAATACAAACTCCCTTTTCGATAAATGTACGTATATACGAATATAAAAGGATATGCACTCCCCGACAATTGGAGCATTCAGTGTGGATGTAAATGCGGGCAAAGGCGGGGCATGGGCATAATTGAAGGTGTCTCTTCCCCCTCTCTATACAACATTTCTTTTGTTTTATGTCCCTGTGGCAGGTGGCTTGCTCTCACCGCCTCCAAATGCATCCAAAGTGGTGGTGGTGGATGCAGGTGCATGTGGCACAGCGCACACAAGTGGCATATAAGCAATGCGGTTAAATAATTGATGGAGTGTCAAAGACATAGCCAATCGAATTGGGAAAAAAACAACATCGGGGTTGCTTCGATTAACCGATGGGAATATCCACTGGAGAATACTCTCCATAGAATAGAGATCCTAATGAGGGCTAAACATTTTAGGCTTAGGCAAAAACAGTGAACAAATCAATCATCCTATCAATCACAAAGATTTTGTTGGAGTTCTCGAATGGCCTTAGAATTTTCCAAGATATAGCCCTGTCCTTGGAGAAAATATTTCTGTTTTTATTTGCATTTTTAGAGGATAAAACCCCACTATTTTGTGACACTTAGTTCTGGAGCCTGAAGATTTTAGCCAAGAGATCTTTTACTCTTAAAATAGATGAATATTCCATTGAATTCTCTCTTCTAGCATTCCTTTTAATCCAGAATAAATGTTGCTTGCACTTTACACCAGTTGCTGCTCTTTCCCCTCAAGAATCTTCTGGAATTTTAAGGATCCAGGAATATATTTTTCTTTGAAAGAACACTCGCAACATTTATATCTGCCACAAGAAGACAGCACCAGCAGCGTCTTCTGCCACAGAAAGACAGACAGAAGTGTTCCAGGGATTTCCCGAAATAGATTTTGAGGGATTGGCATGGACAGATGCGACTGTCAGGCGCCGTAGATCTACGACCGTTTCTTACCCCGGAAAGCAGGAAGCGTATTTTTAAATTGTGCGGATACGTGGTGGTGGCTGTCGCGGTGGTAGCTCCTCCGCTGGCGCCGCTGCCTCCTCCTCCGGTGGCAATTCCCAAATAGGATGGTGATGCAGAGGCCGAACCACCCACATATTCGATGGTCGCCGAGGGTGTCGTGGAGGCGGACGAGGGCGAGGACGAGGCGGATGTCGAGTGCTGGCTGCTGTTGTGAAGATGATGCGACGATACCACCTCTCGCTCCCGCTCTCGCTGCTCCCGATCGCGATGCCGGCGATGTTCCCGATGCTCACGATGCTCCCGATCCCTGTGCTTATGATGGCGATGCTCCTTGCCCTCCTTCTCCCTCTTGTCACGTTTCTTCTTTTTGTTCTTCCGATGCTCCTTATACTCCGCCATATCGATGTGATTGTTGTTGCTCTCCGCTGTGGCTGCCATCGAGACCATTGTGGCGGTAAAATCTACTAGAGTAGCGCTGCCCACTGTGGTGGCGGCCACGGCCATGGCCGGTGCCACATCCATGGGCTGTGATTGGGATGTGGTGTCCATAGTGTCCATCATCATCATTTTGTTGCTGCTTCTGCTTTTGGCCCTTTATACTTCGTTTTGTTCTTTATTCTTATTCCGTTTTGGGTTACTTTTGTTGTTGGCCCTGTGGGCCCGTAAGCCAGGTTTGGTTTCGCTCTCTCTCTCTCTCTCGCTGTGCTCGCTCTTTTAGCTTCAATTT